TTTGTGTGTGTGTGTCCACGTGTGTTTCTTTGTGTGTGTGTGCGTGTGTGTTTATTTGTGCGCGTGTGCGTGTGTGTGTGCCTGGCACGGTGGTTGTTAGCGCCACGCGCAACAAACCCGGCGACCTGAGTTCAATTTCCCGCTCACGAGCAACAAAACGAGTGGCGAATAATAATTGGAACCGGTCGACTCAGCCTCAAATTAGTACCAGGTGCGGTGCGTAAACATCGCCACCAGGGAGACAAAGGCGGCCGGGCGTGGTGCTGGTCACCCACCCACCCCCGCACGCGTGCCGTGCCGGACTTCATAGGTGCTCGCTAACAGCACTTGCCCCAAAAGTCTGTTAAGGCTAGACGGGGGTTCTTTAGATTAACTTTGATGCACGGGTGTATGTAAGGTTTTGCACGTGTGCACCCGTGTATTGATCTGAGTGCCCGCCTTAATAGGTGCTCGCTCGCATCTATAACTAAACGAGGGACCTTGTGCAGTTACCACCGTGCATGTACCAAGCGTGTGCATGTATATGTCCGATGCTCACACATCGACCCATTGTTATTCGACCGGAGCTCTGGAGCCAGACGAAGGCACCGTTCTGATTCGTCGGGTTGCCTTGTCAATGTCAGAGGCTCATTTTGCGTGACGAAGGAATCGTTTGGATTCTTAGAGTTCGCTGCGAATGCCTGAGACTCGTCCGAGGAGCCAGACTCGAGACACCCCTGGGGATTCGCTGTCGGGTTCAGTGGTAACGACAGAGGCCACCCGGCTTGGGTTCGAGCTGATACCCGTGGTGGTATCGCCACCTGGCGAGTAGTGTGTGTACCTGTGCGCGTGTCGGCCTTGACATGCGGCGTGAGAGGGGGGAGCGGTAGCGTAGCGGTTAAACATCACTCCTGGGGTGACAGAGGCAGCCGATCGTGGTGCTAGCCACCTATGAAGGCGTGCAGGCCTTCATAGGTGCTCGCTAACAACGCTTACCCCCACAGTATGTTAAGGCTACACGGGGGATCTCTGTCAATGTGAGTACGCATAGGTTTCGATGTAAACCGTGCATGTGTGGGGGAGCTGAGTGGCGCAGTGGTTGACGTGCTACGCCAGAGTGGACACCCTTGTTAGGAATCCTGGCCACGGCTAACATCAGTGGCGAGTGATATCTGAATGGATCCTGGCACACTACCCCTCGTCCCATTCAACAGCTCTCGCATAATGTCCGTGATGCAGTTGTTTTTAGTTTGGTGATGGTCGGCGATGCGGCAATCGACTCAGCTCGACGAGCTGCACACGATGCACTATTCAAAGTTGAATTTTTCGATAACGGATTTTTATGCTGTTTGGTGTTTCAACGTCGCGGAGTGTAGCACTGATTTCGGATTGATTGGTACCCCAGTCGCGGAGTGAAGTACACCCCTGGAACAAATATTGTCCCAGAAATAAAATATTTAATTGCCTTGGACATTTTATATTATTTGGTACCCCGGGGTACCGCCATAAGGATCAACTAACCCTCGTGAGTGACTCGGCGTGGGGAGACCTTCATCCAGCAATGGATTGACAAACGGCAAGGACATTTATTTTAAAATTATTGTAAATGTGTTTGTGTGGATAGCACATGCCCCTGCATTGCATAGAACTCCACGGGACAGCTTTGTCTACAGGTGTGTATGTATGCGAGTATAATGCTTTTAATGGGACAAGTCACTAGAATGGATGGCCGGTGGTCGAGACTACCGACGGAGTAGCGGCCAACGGAGGGAGCACGCCCGAGAAGTGGTCCACCGCAGCGGAGATGGAGCGATGCAATCAGCTCGTGAGCTTGACGGATCGTCCCATCACAAGAGCGTGAGAGATGGCGCCTTCATCCAGCGGTGGATTGATCACGGCTCGCGATGGTGATGATTAAGTGGAAAGCGGGCTTGGCCTGCCTTCTGATGGCCTTCACGTCCCACTCTTCTGTCTCATTACTGTAGTACCCGGAACTCAAAAGTGATGGGCAACCTGATGGATGCCACATTTGGATGAAGAAACTTCATTCAGACCCCTTCCAGACATTCTCTTTTTTTCTGGCCTTCGTTCAAAAGGGGGAAAAAAGTTCAAAGATTTACTCCTCCACCCCAATTTCACCACCCCCTCAATTTCTGGGGGGCCGAAAATCTAAAAATCAGTGTTTTTGGAATTGCCTGTCATGGTGTGCATCCGTTTGCCGATGTATACGGCTGCGTTGTATATTGTGTGCCGGGAGGCGGAGCGGTTTGCGCACTGCGCTACGAACCTGGCAACCCGAGTTCAAATCCCACTCACGGACAATACCAGTGACGATTACCTGAACCAGTCATGAGCCTCCCCCTAGGTCAACTCAGCCTCAAATGAGTACCTGGGTGCGGTGTTTAAAAAAACTCGCCAATGGACAAATGCGGCCAGGCGTGGTGCTGGCCAACAACCCCATCGTGTACCGTGCCGGCCTTCATAGGTGCTCGCTAACTGCACTTGACCCAACAGTGTGGTTAAGTCTATACGGGGGATCTTTGTCTTCGTATGTGGTGACTTGGTCTCTCCCCGTGCCTCTTTGTGCACCTTCCAGCTTTCGCGTAATTCTCTTCGTCGACGATTCTGATCCGTAGGTCATAGCGGCTCATACACAATGATCGTTCTTCTGCAGGCAAGCAGGGCCGTATTATCCAAAAGGCACTGTGCCTAGGGCTTACGAAAATTAGATGACTAACGAAGACAAACGTTGTCCTGTGGCTGATCAGAGACAGTTTTCTTTTTAATTCAGCTTGAGCGAGTGACACCGGCGGTCGAAGTAACATTGGGCACCAGCAGTAGCACATGCAGAGAGTTAATACTGAAGGCTGACGAAACAGAAGTGCCTAGGGCCCACAAGAACATTAATCCGGCCCTGCAGGCAAATTGCTCTTTTGATTTCCATGACGAAAAAAGTACATATTCCCACCGCCTGCAATTACGACTGCACCAGGTGCAATTCTCTGCTGTTTCATGCTGTGTCCCTCCGGCAGACATCCTCGGATTAGCAATCTTGTCAACCATCTCAGATTTATGTTGAATCCGTCTCGCCATGACCACCCCAAAGATCCCCCTTGTAGCCTTCAGACTGTAGGGGCAAGTGCTGTTAGCGAGCACCTATGGAGGTCGGCACGGCACACCAGGGGGTGGGTGTCCAGAACCACGCCCGGCCGCCTTTGTCTCCCCAGTGGCAATGTTTACGACACACCGCACCAGGCACTCATTTGAGGCTGAGTCGACCTAGGGGAGGCCCAGGACGGGTTCAGATAATCGTCACTGGTGGTGTTGACCGCGAGCGGGAATGGAACTCGAGTCGCCGGGTTCGTGGCGCAGCGCGCTAACCACTACACCACCGCTCCACACCCCCCACACACAATCACTTCCCTCACACTCATTACCCCCCCACACACACACCTATAACTCCCTCTCACGTCAGCCCTCACCCATCATCCCACATGACCCCGTCACCCTCACTCACCTCCCTAAACAACCCTCCCCCCACAACATCAAAGACGGTGGTCACCGCATCGCGCGCTTTCAGGTGCGCTTCTGCGGACCGTCTGGAACGTTCTTCCTCCCGATATCGGGAAGCCACTGGAGCTATGCAATTTGACGTCGTCTAGATTTGACAAAGAATTTCTTTACAAATGTTTTTTGTTTCTTCCCTCGCACCTCCGAATAACCACGGCTGGCTTACGTACGGTGCGAAATAAGTTCAACATGCCGTACATACATCACCCCCCTATCACCCACCTCACCTAATCTCCCCTCCCCCTTAACCCACCTCATCACCCCCTCCCTCACGCCATCACCTCCTCTACCTAACTCCAGCACCCCCCCCCCACCCTCCTTACCTAACCTCACCCCCTCCCCCAACTCCCTTACCTAACCCCAACTTCACACCCCCCCCCCACCTCCCACGCCCACCTCTATCCACTGCTGGATGGTCTCCTAACGGTAACCTCCACCCCCCCTTTACTCCCTTGGCTCCCCTCCTCCCCCTCGTGCCCGGTGGTCGCGTGCGAGCAGCGCGCTTTGGGCGGTGCACGCCACCGCGCACGTGCGACTGATAAAAGCCGGGCGCGCGAGGCTCACGCGATCCGCGCAGAGACACCTGACGGCATCGCCAGCTCCCTCCCTCCCTCCCATCATCAACAACGACCACCGCGACCATGACCACCACAGCACACTCACACGTGCGTGTGCAGACAGCGCGTAAACATTCTCGCACGCATGCACGCACGCATGCACGCACGCGCATGCATACACACATTGCCGATGTTCACACTCGCGCAGGTGCTCTGCTCTCATTCACACATAGCGGAACAGGTGTAACGATTCACACGCGCACGCGGTCATAGAGGCGCATACAGAAGACAAAGATCCCCCGTATAGCCTGAACAGACTTTTAGGGAAAGTGCCGTGAGCGGCACGGCACACGAGGGTGTTGGGTGACCAGCACCAAGCCTGCTGCTTTTGTCTCGCCAGTGGCGATGTTTACGCACTGCACCAGGTACTCGTTTGAGGCTGAGTCGACCTCGGTGAGGCCCAAGACCGGTTCAGATAATCATTACTGGTGATGGTGGCCGTGAGCGGGAATATAACTCGGGTTGCGGAGTTCGTAGCGCAGCACGCTAACCACTGCGCCATCGCTCCCCACAAAGGAATACACACATAAAAACGCACAAAGGTGTACCTTCACACATACACACTGGTGTACAATGACAAAATATCCCCGTATAAGGATATTCAAGGCTGTTGGGGCAAGTGCGGTGAACATCCGTGGTGGTTGAATATCTGAACTGGGTCCCAGGGATCTCACCTTTGGTCGACTTCATCACTGGGGAGACAAATGCGGCCAGGCGTGGTTCTGATCACACCATCCTGTTTATCCACCCCTTCGAATGCCGTGTTCCAGCATTAATAGATGGTAGCAAACATCACCATACAATAGTGTATCGGTGGCTAACAGACGGTCTTGTTTTATTTAGGCCTTTAATCCCCGAGAACCAGGCCTGCTTTCGGGCCGACACAATAATCCTTAAATTCAACGACAGAGCAGTTGCTGCTATTATTATTATCATACAACGCAGTTCCTGCGGGGTAATAATGTACATCGTTCGAGCTGTGTGTGAATACACACACACAGGGCAGTGCAGGTCCAGTCTGCATTTAACAATGCATCTTGCATCTTGGCGAGCGTATGGGCGAGTGTGCTGTCAGTCAGTTGAGCATGTAGTCGAGCAGGTGTGTGGGTTAGTGAAGAAGTGTTTGCGTGCGTGTGTGAACGTTGGGGTGAGTGTGTAGCCGAGCGCTCTGTAAGTCAGTAAGCATGTGGATATGCATGTGGGCGAGCATTTGGGTGAGCATGTGGGCGAGTGCGGAGGTGAGTGCATCGTCAGTCGGGTGAGCGAGGGGGAGAGCGGGTGAGCACCGCGATGACAGCCCCGCGGGGAACGGGAACTCCTCCCACCTCCCTCATCCTCTTCTTCCCCTCCGCCTGCCGCTTCAGCAGCTTCATCTTCCTCGAAATGTCACCTCCGTACTGATGGCAACATCGTCACACGCCATCGCCGAGCCTCGTCACGCAGCATCATCATCTTACCTCTACTGCTACTAATCGACCTCAAGAAATATGGTCCACATTAAATCGAATACCTCATGGTGGATCCAGCCACTGCTTATTATTTATTATTATGCTTGTTTAGCCAGGAGACCCTTTTATTCCGAAGGGTCCTGCCAAGTTTTTGTAGAAAGGGGGCGATGTTGCTACGCGTGAGTCATCTGCGGGCAATGTTTTTTCAGTATTGGGATGTTTTGGCCATTATCAGTTACATTACATAATTTATTTGTATATCTATTGGAGGGAACCAGGAGGATATGGAGGAAAACCCATGCAAAACAAAAACGCCACGCAGAAAGGTGCCTGGACTCGGGAAACAAACCCAGGCCCATGTTGCTATCAGTCACGAGTGTCATCACCGCGCCACCTGCCGGCCCTTCGCAAGTTCTAAATTCAAAGAAATACCGGTGTGCGATTGCGTAAACGCCAACCCAACCATTGTCCACATGGTCGTGAACCACTGTGAACTCCGTAAATTAACGCAAGTCTTTGGGTCTCTATGTAAGTCTATTAGTCTCGACGTGGGAACAAATAGTCGTGGGTGCGTATCAGTCTTTTCCTAGCTAACGAATCTGGACATAGACTGGTAGGTGAATTTCCGTGCTCAAGAGAATTATATCTCTGTGTGCCATGTAGTCACCCCTCAAACTCCTCAACATTGTCACATATTATCGTCACTTCCACACCGCACCTCATCCGGCATCGGCACACCTCATCATCCGAAATCACCGCTCCTTGTCATGTGCCGCTACACCTCATCACATCATTATCACACCATCACACCCCACCGAACATCGTCGGCGCTACTCACGCATTTGGCGAGGACGTTCTTGCGGAAAGCTTTGATCCTGGAAAACGAGAATGGCACCAACGTCGTCAGTTTCTTAGCGACACCAACATCATCACCATCATCACAATCTCCGCCATCAAGATGATTTATCGCGAACACCAAAACCCAAACTATCCTGATCAATCTCACTTATCCAGCGTGTATTGTGTGTCACGTACGTCTCCCTGGCGATGACCTTCGACCCAATGGTGGCCTGGATCGCGACCTCAAACATCTGGCGGGGGATGGAGTCGCGGAGACGAATGCACATCTCCTTGCCAACCAGGTGTGCCTTGTCCCTACATGCACACAGGAACACAATGTACATGCAATTGTGTGCACACACATGTCGACAAGAGTGTATGTGCGCGTCTATACGTGGGGAGCGGCAGTGCAGAGGTCAGCACACTGTGCTACAAACGCGGCGACCACAGTTCAACTCCCGCTTATAGCCAATATCGGCGACGAATATCTCAACTGGTCCTTCTTGGTCCACTCAGCCTTAAATCAAGAACCTGGTATGATGTGTACACATCAGTCTGTTAAGGCTATATGGTGGATCTTTGCCTTTTGTGTGTATGCATGTTTGTGCAGGTGCAGGTGCATCCGGATGTGCCTGCGGGTGTGTGTCTGTATGTCCATGCCGGTGTGTGTCCATGTGTTACGTTTACGATTAGGGTGAGAACCCGGTGACCCAAGTTATATTCCCGCTCATGGCCAACACCAGTGACGATTATCTGAACCAGTCCTAGGCCTTCCCTAGGTCGACTCAGCCTCAAATGAGTACCTGGTGCGGTGTCTAAAAACATCATCACTGGGGAGACGAAGGAGTGGCTGGGTGTATTGTTGGCCACCCACCCCCTCGTGTGCCGTGGCGGCCTTCATAGGTGCTCGCTAACAGCCCTTGCCCCAACAGTCTGTTTCAGGCTACACGGGGGATCTTTGTTTTTTGTGTGTGCTGCGTGTTCGGACCGGTGCACGATGTTCGTGAGTTCCTCCACAGGTTTCCCGTTGAGCATAACGTCCATGCGCACGATGTCCACGGGCTCGTAGCCAGCCTCCTCGTAGTCAAAGCTGTACACGGGGGTGTTACCATGGTGAGCAGACCAGGTGGCATGTAGATACACGGGGATACACACAGACATGCAAATAGTGCACGGGGATACACAGGGGTGCACGAGCATGCAAATAAACACAGAGATGCACGGTGCAGGCATGGCTATGCGTAAGGGTGCACTCGTAGGAGTACACAGGGAAGCAGAGGGGTGCACGCGGATACATGGAGACAAGGCGTGGTTGTGCGGCGGTGGCTGACGTCACCTGGCGTATCCCGAAGACAGGGACTTGAGGATGTCGTAAAAGTCAACGAGGACCTCGCAGAGTGGCATGCGGTAGCGCAGCATGATGCGCGCGCCGTCCATGTACAGCACGTCCACCTGCGTGCCCCGCCGTTCCTGACACGCGGCGACACGCGGGTAAGCAAAGGTACATGCGGGGACACGCAGGGACACGCGGAGCCACGTGGGGCACGTGTATCTAAAGCGACAGGCGGGGATACTAGAGACACAGAGAGAGACGACACAATCCATAGTTGTATTGTACTTTCTAAGCTCACACGCCTATACTCCTCGCCTACACTAACCCACACCTCCAAATGTTTGTGCAATTTACAGACATTCAATCCAGCAGTGAATTGACATAAGGTGGTTTAATGTCGTGTGTATGGACACGTATGTGTACACGTGCGTGCGTGAGCGTGAGATGTGGCACCTGGCAGAGCTTCATGATGGCACCCATGTGCGCGTCGGGCGTGATGATGGTGCCCGTGATCATGGGCTCCAAGTAGTGCGACACCACCGAGCGGTCTGGCAGCTCACACGGGTTCAGCACCATCACCTCGGCACTACCATGCTCCTGGTAACACCAGCACGGCACAGGGAGGGTCACGGCATGGGCAGGGTCACGGTACAGGGAGGGTTACGGCACAGGAAGGGTCAAGACACAAGGAGGGTCACGGCACAAGGAGGGTCACATCAAGAAGAGAGGGGTCACGGGCAGGATCAGTTACATCATCTCTCACATGGAATGGTGTATAAGTGTTACGTGTTGCTTAAGCGGGTGTGGGTATTACGAGTGTGAGGAGTGATGACATCGTCGTTGACGTACTGCACTATTAACCCGGTGTCTTGAGATCGACTCCTGACCATGCCTTGCATGTGTGCATCTGTAGAGTATGCGTGCGTGCTTGTGTATTTGCTTGAGTGCGGAGCGCTAGTGCAATGGTTAGCGCGCTGCGCTATGGACCCAGCGACCAGAGTTCAATTCCCGCTCACGGCCAACACCAATGACGAATATCTGAATCTGTTCTGGGCCTCCGCTAGGTTGATTTAGCCTCAAATCAGGACCTGGGGCGATGTGTAAACATCGCCAGTGGGGAGACAAAGGCGGCCGGGCGTGATGCTGACCACGCACACCTTTGAGTGTCGTGTCGGCCTTCATAGGTGCTCGCAAACAGCACATGCCCCAACAGTCTATCGAAGGCTACACGGGGTATCTTTGCCTTTGTTTTTGTGCTTGAGTTTGAGAGTGGATGAGCGTGCTTTCATCAGGCCCAGTTCCAGCTCCTCTCAGATGGGGGGAGGGGGAGGGGGTCCAGTAGAGCTGTTGTATGGGGGGCCACCTGAACAGCTATTCACCGCTAAGGAGTGTGAACTTGGGTGAGGTCAAAGGGACATCTGTTGGGGCAGGGCCCACCCAGGCCCCACCCAGGGCCCACCCCAGCTCCCACGTAGTCCGGTCCTGGTGTGTGTATGCGTGAGTGTGTATGCGTGGCGTCACCTTGATGAGGCGTGGGGAGGTGAGCACGGCGCGGTAGGGCACGGTGGGTGCCGTGAGAATGACGCTCGCATTGTACTCCTGCTCCAGCCGCTGCTGGAACACGTCGAGGTGCAACAGGCCCAGGAACCCCAGCCTGCACAAAGAACAAGATTCTCTCGTGTAGCCTTTGACAGACTTGTGGGGCAAGTGCTGTTATCGAGACACCTATGAAGGCCGGCATGGCACACGGGGGGCTGGCATGGCTGGCTCCACGCCCGGCTGCCTTTGTCTTCCCCAGTGTTCATGTTTACACAATGCACCAGGTACTCATTGAAGGATGAGCATATCAATTACATACTCGTGTGTACTGCATGTGTGTGTGTGTATGCGCATGTATATCGCGTGCGTGCGTGCGTGTGTGCGTGTGTATGTCCCGCTGGTGCCCAATGATTTTACCTCCAACCAGCTCCCAAGGCGGCGCTGCTCTCCCTCTGTATGGAGACGCTGGAGTCGCGCAGGGTCAGCCTCTCGAGCGCTGAGCGCAGGGACGTGTACTCCGACTGGTCTGATGGGAACATGCCTGGACAAACAAAGACAAAGATCCCCCGTATAGCCTCAACAGACTGTTGGGGCAGGCGCTGTTAGCGAGCACCTATGAAGGCCGGCACGGCACACGAGGGGGTGGGTGGCCAGCACCACGCCCGGCCGCCTTTGTCTCCCCAGTGGCGATGTTTACACACCGCACCAGGTATTCATATCACGCAAGCACACACGCCACAGACATACACAGCCACCACCATCAACACCACCACCGCTTTTTTTCACACATCAGGGGTTGTTTGTAAGTACGTACGTGTGTTAACATTTGTATGTCAGCGTATATTTTAGTGTTAGTCTACGTACATCTCTGTGTGAGTGCATACGCGCCACGGTGGCAAGAACCACCTAACCTGGTATACAGGAGGTCGTGGGTATGATCCCGACCCTGACACCTGTATATTTGGAGTGTGCATGTTCTCCCAGTGGTTGTGTGGATTTTTCTTCAGGTCCTCCAGTTTTTCCCTACACATTTAGAATAAAGGTGTTTAAAAGTATTTGGCTGCTATAAATTTCCAGCCAATAAGCCACTTCATTGAGCTATCATTTTTGGCCAGATCGCTTCTGAAAAAGAAGCTAATAGCTCAGTGGGCCCTACCTGGTAAAATAAAAAATAGTTTAGTGTTTGTGTGTGTGTGTGTACATATGTGAGTATACACAGTGACAATTATATGCACTGTTCCTGGGGCTTCCCTAGGTCGACCTCAAATAAGTATCTGGTGCGGTGTGTAAACATTGCCACTGGGGAGACAAAGGCGGCCACTCATCCCCTCATATACTGTGCCGGCCTTCATAGTTGCTTGCTAACAGCACTTGCCCTAAAATCTGTTAAAGGATATATGGGGGTCTTTGTATACGAGTATACACAGGTAGTATTCATATGTGTGTTAGCACGTAGGCTTTCGCGACCAATATTATTCATAATCAACGTTTTTGGGTTTAGATCGCGTTATTTATAAATGTGTCGTAACCCTCCACCACCCGACACAGCCAATCAGTAAAAAAGTGTCACGTTGACAAAAGACAAAAATAGTTCACTGCTTTAGCCCACCGGTGTGTTGAAGCGTGAAACCACAACATTTACAATTTTTGAGTACGACGTTTCGCTGGATGCGTTGATTATGAATTCATACGTGTGTTAGCATGTGCGTCCAGCGCCGCGTACCGGCGAACACCATGGGCTTGGAGGGTTTGAACCCGGGCAGGGGCTCTACCTCGTGAGCCGGGTCTTTGTATGCGAGTATACACAGGTAGTATTCATACGTGTGTTAGCGTGTGCGTCCAGCGCCGCGTACCAGCGAACACCATGGGTTTGGAGGGTTTGAACCCGGGCAGAGGCTCCACCTCGTGTGCGGCCGAGTGCACCGTGTCGCCCACCTGAGCCTCGCTAACCTGGCGCATCCCGCACACCAGGTACCCCACCTGGCCCGCGTACCTGGGCACACATACCGCAGCAGACCACGTCACGTGAACCACGTCGCACGCTCACAACGCACGCTCCGCACGCCACGACACACCGCATCACACTGCATGACAACACATTGCGACACACACACGGCACGCCAACCAGGCAACTAATTCCAATCGATGCGAGCCCAGCGCACGTGCGCACACACATTTACACGTGCGAGGGTACACAGCTTGCGCGCACTCATAGAGCACGCGTATAAGTGTTTGCGAGCGCACACAAACGGGTGTCCGCACGTACGTGCGTGAGCTCACAGAGTTGCCGTGGGAGTGGGCAAGGGCAGCAGGAGGCCGATGTCGGACACCTCGTAGTCGCGCTGCCGCAACGAGGTGGAGGAGCTGTGCGTGCGCACGCGGTCGCCGCGGCTCACGGCGCCGTCGCGCACCATCACGCGCGCCACCGCGCCGCGGAACGAGTCGAACTCCGAGGCGAAGAGCAGCGCGCGGAATGGGGCTGTCGCGTCCCCGCGGGGGCTGCACATGCACGCACCCATGCACACAGTTAATATACGTGTGCACGGGTGTGTGAGAATACGTGAACAGGTGTGAAAAGATGTGTGGTAGCAGCGGTGTAGTGGTTACCACGCTGCGCTACGAACCCGGTGAACTGAGTTTGATTTCCGCAAACAGCCAACAACACCAGCTACGATGATCTGAACTAGTCCCGGGCCTCCCCTAGGTCGAATAATCCTCAAATTAGTACCCGGTGCAGTGTGTAAACATCGCCACTAGGGAAACAAAAGTGGTTGGGCATGGTACTGGCAACCCACCCCCTTGTGTGCCTTGCGGGCCTTCATAGGTTCTTGCCAACAGCACTTGCCCCAAAAGTCTACTAAAGTTATATGGGGGATCTGTGTCTTTGCCTTCGTGTGAAGAGAATGTGTGCACGAGTGTGCGTGAGAATGTGTGCGCAAGTGCGTGAGGATGTGTGCACGGGTATGCGTGGTAATGTGTACAACGGTGTGCGTGAGAATGTGTGCAAGGGTGTGCGTGGTAATGTGTACAACGGTGTGCGTGAGAATGTGTGCAAGGGTGTGCGTGGTAATGTGTACAACGGTGTGCGTGAGGATGTGTGCAAGGGTGTGCGTGAGAATGTGTGCAAGGGTGTGCGTGGTAATGTGTACAACGGTGTGCGTGAGAATGTGTACAACGGTGTGCATGAGAATGTGTGCAAGGGTGTGCGTGGTAATGTGTACAACGGTGTGCGTGAGAATGTGTACAACGGTGTGCGTGAGAATGTGTGCAAGGGTGTGCGTGGTAATGTGTACAACGGTGTGCGTGGTAATGTGTACAACGATGTGCGTGAGAATGTGTGCAAGGGTGTGCGTGAGAATGTGTGCAAGGGTGTGCGCACTAACGGAGGGATCCTGTCGATAACCGCCTCCAATATTTGCTCCACATTTGTACCCAACTTGGCAGATACCTGCACACACACACATACACAGACACGCACAGATACAGACACAGCATGCACACAACATTCACATACAGACACAGAATGCATATACAGCAGACGCACAGCAGTTGTTCGTCCGTCATTCTCACTCTAATGCAGTCGCTGGCCGGAATGTCGAAGAGTTTCTCAATCTCCGCGGCGACTCGGTCCGGATCCGCGTTTTTGAGATCGATCTAGCCGAGGCATCAAACACGAAAAAACAACAACCACAACAACAAAGTGAGCTGAGATGGGGATGCATGAGGGGACATGTGGAAACAAGGTGAGGCACGGTGCGGTCATCTGGAACGCTGTTCCTTCCGACATTAGGAAGCCACTGGAGCTATGCACATTTAAATCTACATTAAAAACAAATTTTTTTAAACCGATTTTTGCGTTTAGTTTGTTGTCCTTCCCCCGTACCTCCAATTAGCACGTTTGGCTATGTACAGTGCGATGCGAAACACGTTCAACATGCAGGGAGACGCGGGTAGCCACAGCAATGCACGGAGAGACATGGGGAGGTACATTTATAAGTCTATCTGGCCTTTTGAGGTCTGTCTTGCATCCTAATTTCTTTGCAGCGCAACATCCGCTCCTTCCTTGTGTTTAGACTCTTAAATGTATAAATCCACATCGGATTGCATGAATTGTATGACGAGACGGAAAGGAAGAGAGGGAAAGTGTGAGCTAGAGGGACGGAGGGGGAAGGGAAGGAGGAAGGTGAGATGGGGGGGGGGTAGATGGAGAAGGGGAGGAAGGGAGGGGGGAGGGAGAGAGGCTTCACCTTGTTAATGACGGGGATGATTGCGAGCTCTGCTTCAAATGCGAGGTAAAAGTTTGCCACAGTCTGAGCTTGGATGCCCTGCACAAATACACACAGAGACCCGTACAGCCTTAAAGAATGTTGGGGGGGAAATACTGTTAGTGAGCACCAGTCATAGGGCTAGCGAGCGCCACATTCTCTCAATCCTGATGTTTAAATACACCACACTGAGCACTCATCTAAGGCTGAGTCGACCGAGGGGAGGCCCAAGACTGGTTCAGATTTTACTTGCTACTGACATACACACTGGCAAACAACAAATTGGCACACATGCATGTAACCCACCATGCCCTCTCGCTACAGTGGGCATGCATGCATGCCTGCGTGTGTGTTCCTGAGTGTGATTGTGACTGAGCATACGTGTCTGTAAGTTGTGTGCATGTCTGTGTGAATGTGCCCAAGTGCATGCGAATGATTGCTTGCATGTGTGTGCGATTGTGTGCACGTTTTGAGTCTTTTCTGTTCGTGTTTGTACGCACATGAGTGAGTGCGTCTGTTTGTGTGCGTGTTTATATGTTCATGCACGCTTCTTTTTGCACACGTGTGCCGGTGCGTGCACGCTTGTATATGTGTTGCCGTGCGTTTGCTTTTACATTCGCACGTGTGCATGGCTGTGCATCTTGTTAGAACCTCATTAGCGTCGACCAATAGAAGCACTCCCTGGCAGGCTGCGAGCGACCGCGACACCTCATAGTTGAAATCCACGTGGCCCTAACACACGCGCACACATAAATACAAAGATCCCCCGTATAGCCTTTAACAGACTGTTGGAGCAAGTGCTGTTAGCGAGCAACTATTAAGGCCGGTACGGTACACGAGGGGGTGGGTGGCCCAAACCATGCCTGGCCACTTTTGTCTCCCCAGTGGTAATGTTTACACATCACACAAGGTACTCATTTAAGGGTGAATCGACCTAGGGGAGGTCCAGGACCAGTTCATATATTCCCCGCTGTTATTGGTCATGAACGGGAATGGAATCCAGGTCTCTGGGTTCGTAGCGCAGTGCTAAACACTATGTTATCGCTCCGCACGCACACACACACACAAGCATTCATACACACATACACACGTGTATACACACATCCGCACAAGCATATGCACATGGACATATGTAAGCACAGAAGGTTGGGCATGTACGTGACAAGCGTGTATACTTGGTTTGTCTAAGAAGTGAAGGGTGGACACATGCTGTGTGTATATGTGTGTGTACTAGAATTTCTAGGCACTTGAGTGTGCATACGTGTGTATACCGATGTGTCTATGAGGTCGAGTGTGTACCTGCGGCGTATATGTATGTGTATATGTCGTTGTGTGTGTAGTAGTGGGGAGCGGTAGTGTAGCGGTTAGCACGCTGCCTGAGATTGATTCCCACTCACGGCCAACACCAGTGACGATTATCTGAAGCAGTCCTGGGCCTCCTCTAGGTCAACTCAGCCTGATATGAGTACCTGTGAGGTGTGTAAACATCGCCACTATCGAGAAAAAAGGCGGCTGGGCATGGTGCTGGTCTTCCCGTCCTCCTGTGTGCCGTGTTGGCCTTCATAGGTGCTCGCTAAAAGCACTTGCTTCTATAGTCTGTTAAGGCTATACGGGGGATCTTTGTGTGTGTGCATGCATGTGTAGAGGAGTGAAATACGCGGTTGCGCACAGTTAACCGACGGCAACTGAGGGCAAACAGGTGCGCGTGTGCAACACGAGGGTTGCACGGACAAATCGCCAGTTGTTAAGGGGCGAAGCAAGGTGCAAACGGGGTCGACCGGTTGTGCACGTTGAGACCAGAGGTGTTGCCAGGGAGGCATGGCGATAAGGGTTGATTGATGGGCCAACAGGCGCCGGCCTAGCGAGAGCTTAAAGAGACGCACGAGAAGTCTTGGATAATTAGCAGAGAGATGTAAGGGTGTGTGCGTGAGCGGAGGGAGAGTTGTTGCCGGGGACAAGATTGAAAAGACATCTCGCCGCTCCAGCCGTTAACGGGACCTCAGCCCTCACGCCGTCGCCGGGCGGGTGTTGGCTGATCCCCCCGCCCGGGACAGACGGGTGAGCGGGTCTGAGGGAGAGTAGGAGAGGGCAGCGGTGGAGATGTAGAGTTGCTGTGTGCGTAGACGCTGTGTGTGTAGACGCTGTGTGCGGAGACACTGTGTGCAAAGATGCTGTGTGCGGAGTCGCTGAGAGCAGAGCTGCTGAGTGCAGGATGAGTGAGGTGGAAGGCTGATAAGAGTGGGGAGGAGTTAGTCATAAGTCACCGTATTGATAGTTATAGGAGTGCCTACAACTGGTGCAAGAATAGGTGAATAAAGTGTAAGCAGGTGACTTGTTACAAAGTGTCGGTGTGAGTAATTTTTGAAGACGCTACACATGTGTGTGTATGAGGTTGAGTGTGAACCTGTGGCGTATATGCATGTATGTGTATACGTGTGTATGTGTATACACGTGTGTGTGTGTACCGGTGTGTCTATGAGGTTGAGCATGTACGCGTGGCGCGTGTGCACATGCGAGTAGAACAGCGTGGCTGTCTGAGCCTTGACCGTGATGCCTCTCTCCCGCTCCACCTGGAGCGTGTCCAGCACCTGCTTGTTCCCTGAGCTCGGCTGGATGGCTCCTGTGCACACACACACACAAAACAAAGATCCCCCGTATAGCCTTCAACAAACTGTTGAGGCAAGGGCTGTTTGGGAGCGACTATTAAGGCTAGCACAAGGGGGTCGGGTGGGGTGGCCAGAACCACGGCCACCCGGCCGCTTTTTTCTCCCAAATGCTGAGGTTTACACACCACATCAGGTACTCGTTTGAGGCAGAGTTGACCTAAGGGAGGCTCAGCAGCTGTTTAAATATTCGAAACGGATGTTGGCTGCGAGCAGAAACTGAATTCAGGTCACCAGATTCGTAGCGCAGGCCGCAATCCACTTTGCCATCGCTCCCCACATGCACACACACGTAAAACGACGCAGATCCCCGTGTAGCCTACACAAGACTGTTGGGGTAAGAGCTATTAGCGAGGACTCATGAAGACTAGACAAGTGCACAAGAGGGTGGCATGGCCCGCACACACGCATGAAAGCACGCACGCATACGAATGCACACATATGAACACAAACATTCACACGCACACCCGCACACGCACAGGAGGAGGTGTTAAGAGGTGGTAATGCGAGGAGGAAAAGTTGTGAGGAGGAAAAGGAGGTGTGAGAACGACTGAGTAGGAGGGGAAGGAGTTGTGAAGAGGAAGAGGAGGTGTGAGGAGGTAGTGTGAGGAGTCAGAGGAGTGGGAGGGAGAGCGGAGCGTACCCGTGATCTCGAGGAGCCGGTCGGCAAGCGTGCTCTTGCCATGATCAACGTGCGCCACGATGCTGAAGTTCCGGATCCTCTCCATGGGGAACAGAGACAGATCCGGGACCTGCAGCATAAGCACACAGTCCCCCAGTGCAGGCTACGTTATAGAGTGCGGTTAGCGAGCACCTATGAAGGCTGGAGAGGCACACGAGGAGGTGGTGTGGTCAGCACCATGCCGAGCTGGCCGCCTTTGCCTCCCCAGTGCTGATGTTTGGACACCGCACCAGGTACTCGTTTTCAGAACCAGTTTGGATATCGCTCGCCACTGATGTTCGCCGTGGTGTAAAATCAAAGCCATTATGCCAAGTCCTTAGCGTAGTGTGTAACACATTGCACCACCACTCCTAACGGCCACGTCATCACACCTGATAACACACACCTCATCATGCTGGCCAAAATCCACACTTTTATTCTAAAGTGTTATTTTGGCATGATGCCAGGAGACAAAGAATGCATTTGGAACTCTCGTATTAGCCTATGTTCGAACACAATCTGCAGAGGTTGATATCACAGATCTGCATACATGAGAGCACGCAGCACTTTCCCGCCCTCCCACCTACAAAGACATGTTCGTTGCATGGCAGTCAAACCGATATATTTATTCTAATGAAGTGCAAAACCAAATTTATCGTGGGATTGTTTTGTGCAGTCATTGGTGACTGGCCGGAGACCATCAACTCACTAGCCTCGAAAACCCGGCTTCATCACTGTTGGCTGAAACCAAGATTCGAACTCAGAACCTAAGCGGGACCGGCTCAGTGCTACGACACAGCCATTGTGAACCCCCTGAGCAACCCGTCCACCACTCCAGCTCTTACTGCCCAGTCAATGCACCTTCTCCCCTCTTGCTTACCGCAACCTCTTCCTTTTCCACCTCACCTTGGCTTCATCACTGTAGCTCCTCGTGCTGACACCGTGACCCGACCTTAACCTTGACCTCGGCCCCGCCCTGAGCGGCCTCAGCAGCAGCAGGGCCCGTGTGTTCAACATCAGCGGCGGTCTCTCCTCCTGCGCCGCCGTGGGGTTAACATTGAGGTCAATTAAAACGGTTTCAACTGGACCCACATTCAAACGGAGTTTCAGCACCATAAGGCTTGAGATCTCCATCGTTGAATGAAGGCTTTCCCTCGCCATCACCATCTTATCAGTATCACGATACAGCAATCCTTCTAGCTCCTCCACATATGTTTAGTTCATTGCTCCATCTCTGTATTGGACGTAGTCTCAGGTGTGTTCTCTCCTTTGGCTGGAAATCAATGTGATGTCTTTAACTTGCGTTTGTTCTGTGGTCCGTCTGTAGCTCTTTCTGTCTCTCAGTGCAATTCTCAGAATACACATCTCCATGCTTCTTTAAGTACTTTTCAGCTGTTGTTCAATTTTCTTTGTGAACATACCAATGCGCTTAAAGGAGAAACGGTTTAATCAGTGTATTTTACCTGCTGTGACATATGAATTGGAAATATATTACATAAACACAGTGTAATATTGTAGAAGCGCGCGAGTTTAAAGCAGTTTAAAGTAACGTAATCAGAAAATACATCTCCTTCAATAGCTGTCTCTCTGTATACAAAAATAAAATATGTTTTACATAACCCAATGGCCCTACAGCCTTCTAAGAGTTAATAATTTGAGCAGCATTGATTCAAAGCAAGCAAACTCCGGATGGGTTTTGATATACGGCGTCGCATCAGCAGATTCAGGCTCGCTTGAATCAATTCTGGTGAACTGTCAGATGTCATAGGCAAGAATAATCTTTTAAAGATATGGGTCCTCGTTAGATGTGAAATACAACTAAAAATAATCATAAATGGTAATCTTGGGTAATATCATTGTAATCGAGAACCATAGTAACTAGAAGGGAATTCATGATCTAGAACCGTATGGTTAAAGAAACAACACATCCATTCGAATCTATAGAATGGCCCGCGGAAGGAGATATCGCAGATTTACTTCAGAAATTAATTCAAGTGACCTCTGGTCTACACGAAACTTTCTCACCCATCCTGCAACGGAAAAATATTCGTCGCATGTCAGACAACCTCGATATTTTAAATTTTCAGTGCTGGAATTTTTTCAGATTAAGTGCAACAACAAAGTGAGTGATATTATATTTTTGGTTCTTTCGGTAAAGTCACGTAGAAGGGAGATAATAAAATAATACAAATATAAAACAATAAAAATTCTCACGACGTTTCGACTGCAACACAAGCAATCATCATCAGATGTGAAATCCACAGCAATAAAATTGGTGATGTGAAATCCACAGCAATAAAATTGGTGATTTTCTTGCTGTGGATTTTACACCTGATGATTGCTTGTGTTGCAGTCGAAACGTCGTGAGAATTTTTATTGTTTTATATTTGTATTATTTTATTATTTACCTTCTACGTGACTTTACCGAAAGAACCAATAATATGAATCCCTGCAGTCACGAAAGCTTTAAATCAAAAATGAGTGATGTGTTTTTTATCGCAATCATCGCAAAACAAAAACACATCACTCTAAATGTTAAACACTTGAGATCCCGGTTAATTCAGAGGTGAAGGATCAGTACCCTGGCATCTGAGGCACCAGGCCACCTCAGGTTCTGTTGGTCTAACACGATTTAGCCTGTTAACCTCGTTCAGTCTGAAACCCTATTAAATCTGGTGCTTTTGCGTTTAAAATTGTTTAACTTTGAACCATAACACCATGTTTTTGAATGGAGAAGCTTGGTACTGAACGTACAGTACTTTAAAAAGATTAACTCGACCCGTGTAACTTGAAAACGATTTAACCTGCCCCATGTCTATTGTAGAAATGTGTAATCCGTTTAAACTGAAACCTTTATAACTCAACAGTCTTAACTTGGATGCACATCCCCGTAATATGTGCTACTCTTGGTCTAACAGGGGTTAAACCTGGATTCTTGTTGGTCTAACACGGTGTAGCCTGGGACCGTGATGGTCTAACACGGCGTAGCCTGGGACCGTGATGGTCTAACACGGCGTAGCCTGGCAACGTGATGGTCTAACACGGCGTAGCCTGAGGCAGTGATGGTCTAACACGGCGTAGCCTGGCAATGTGATGGTCTAACATGGCGTAGCCTGGGGCAGTGATGGTCTAACACGGCGTAGCCTGGGACCGTGATGGTCTAACGCGGCGTAGCCTGGGACCGTGATGGTCTAACACGGCGTAGCCTGGGGCAGTGATGGTCTAACACGGCGTAGCCTGGCAACGTGATGGTCTAACACGGCGTAGCCTGGGGCAGTGATGGTCTAACACGGTGTAGCCTGGCAACGTGATGGTCTAACACGGCGTAGCCTGGGGCAGTGATGGTCTAACACGGTGTAGCCTGGGACCGTGATGGTCTAACACGGCGTAGCCTGGAACCGTGATGGTCTAACACGGCGTAGCCTGGGACCGTGATGGTCTAACACGGCGTAGCCTGGGACCGTGATGGTCTAACACGGCATAGCCTGGGACCGTGATGGTCTAACACGGCGTAGCCTGGGACCGTGATGGTCTAACACGGCGTAGCCTGGGACCGTGATGGTCTAACATGGCGTAGCCTGGGACCGTGATGGTCTAACACGGCGTAGCCTGGGACCGTGATGGTCTAACACGGCGTAGCCTGGGACCGTGATGGTCTAACGCGGCGTAGCCTGGGACAGTGATGGTCTAACACGGCGTAGCCTGGCAACGTGATGGTCTAACACGGCGTAGCCTGGGGCAGTGATGGTCTAACACGGCGTAGCCTGGCAACGTGATGGTCTAACACGGCGTAGCCTGGGGCAGTGATGGTCTAACACGGCGTAGCCTGGGACCGTGATGGTCTAACGCGGCGTAGCCTGGGACCGTGATGGTCTAACACGGCGTAGCCTGGGGCAGTGATGGTCTAACACGGCGTAGCCTGGCAACGTGATGGTCTAACACGGCGTAGCCTGGGGCAGTGATGGTCTAACACGGTGTAGCCTGGCAACGTGATGGTCTAACACGGCGTAGCCTGGGGCAGTGATGGTCTAACACAGCGTAGCCTGGCAACGTGATGGTCTAACACGGCGTAGCCTGGGGCAGTGATGGTCTAACACGGCGTAGCCTGGCAACGTGATGGTCTAACACGGCGTAGCCTGGGGCAGTGATGGTCTAACACGGTGTAGCCTGGGACCGTGATGGTCTAACACGGCGTAGCCTGGCAACGTGATGGTCTAACACGGCGTAGCCTGGGACCGTGATGGTCTAACACGGCGTAGCCTGGGACCGTGATGGTCTAACACGGCGTAGCCTGGGACCGTGATGGTCTAACACGGCGTAGCCTGGGACCGTGATGGTCTAACACGGCGTAGCCTGGCAACGTGATGGTCTAACACGGCGTAGCCTGGGACCGTGATGGTCTAACACGGCGTAGCCTGGGACCGTGATGGTCTAACACGGCGTAGCCTGGCAACGTGATGGTCTAACACGGCGTAGCCTGGGACCATGATGGTCTAACACGGTGTAGCCTGGGACCGTGATGGTCTAACACGGCGTAGCCTGGGACCGTGATGGTCTAACACGGCGTAGCCTGGGACCGTGATGGTGTAACACGGTGTAGCCTGGGACCGTGATGGTCTAACACGGCGTAGCCTGGCAACGTGATGGTCTAACACGGCGTAGCCTGGGACCATGATGGTCTAACACGGTGTAGCCTGGGACCATGATGGTCTAACACGGTGTAGCCTGGGACCGTGATGGTCTAACACGGCGTAGCCTGGGACCGTGATGGTCTAACACGGCGTAGCCTGGGACCGTGATGGTCTAACACGGCGTAGCCTGGGACCGTGATGGTCTAACACGGCGTAGCCTGGGACCGTGATGGTCTAACATGGCGTAGCCTGGGACCGTGATGGTCTAACACGGCGTAGCCTGGGACCGTGATGGTCTAACACGGCGTAGCCTGGCAACGTGATGGTCTAACACGGCGTAGCCTGGGACCATGATGGTCTAACACGGCGTAGCCTGGGACCATGATGGTCTAACACGGTGTAGCCTGGGACCGTGATGGTCTAACACGGCGTAGCCTGGGACCGTGATGGTCTAACACGGCGTAGCCTGGGACCATGATGGTCTAACACGGCGTAGCCTGGGACCATGATGGTCTAACACGGCGTAGCCTGGGACCGTGATGGTCTAACACGGCGTAGCCTGGGACCGTGATGGTCTAACACGGCGTAGCCTGGGACCGTGATGGTCTAACACGGCGTGGCCTGGGACCGTGATGGTCTAACACGGCGTAGCCTGGGACCATGATGGTCTAACACGGTGTAGCCTGGGACCGTGATGGTCTAACACGGCGTAGCCTGGGACCGTGATGGTCTAACACGGCGTAGCCTGGGACCGTGATGGTCTAACACGGCGTAGCCTGGGACCATGATGGTCTAACACGGCGTAGCCTGGGACCGTGATGGTCTAACACGGCGTAGCCTGGAACCGTGATGGTCTAACACGGCGTAGCCTGGGACCGTGATGGTCTAACACGGCGTGGCCTGGGACCGTGATGGTCTAACACGGCGTGGCCTGGGACCGGTGTCAAAGTCAACCGCAGTTCACTCCGGTGCCCCCCCCCCCCGATATGACCCCCCCCCCCCCCCGATATGACCCCCCCCCCCCTTAATCTCTCAGACCCCCGCCCCCCACCCGCCCCCCGCTCTGACCTCCCCCGCCCCCACGTGCGCGAGGCCTCTGCTTGCGGCTGCCCGGGGTCACGCGGAATCGATCCAGCGTGATGAATCCTCGTCGATTAAATCGACGAGCTTTGGCCAAAAAGCGAACCTCTCTGTCCAATTCTTGTTGAGTTTTTCGCAGTTGAGCAGGGTCGCTTTGAGATCAGGATCAGAATAGTTACTAATACTGGAGATTTCACGTTGCTGTGCCGGGGGTCCGGTATATCCGTAGGACATTTAATGCTGAGTTTATAACCAAAGTGGTAATAATTTGTAATAACCCCCCCTATCAGATGGACCATAACATGTAATTAAAATAAACTGGCCGAACGCACCAATAATATTGTTTACGAACTATGAGCCAATCATCATCACCACCAAATGTGGTCGATAAACGCGCTTTAACAATCGACGGGGGGAGTCGATTCGACCTTCACTCGTGGCGTCGATTCCCAGCGAACGGCCAATCGTGCGCGCGCGTCACCACCACCACCACCACAGGGCGGGGCAATCGAGGGCCGACAAGAGCCTCGCAATCGATTGGGGGGAGGGGCTCTGCGAGACCGTCGATTGCGGACGCGGCAGGCGGCGCAAGGTGGGGGTTGTGAGGGGGAGGCGAGGAGGGGGGGGGAGGCGAGGAGGGGGGGGAGGCGAGGAGGGGGGGGGAGGCGAGGAGGGGGGGGGGAGGCGAGGAGGGGGGGGGGAGGCGAGGAGGGGGGGGGGAGGCGAGGAGGGGGGGGGAGGCGAGGAGGGGGGGGGAGGCGAGGAGGGGGGGGGAGGCGAGGAGGGGGGGGGGAGGCGAGGAGGGGGGGGGGGGAGGCGAGGAGGGGGTGGGGGGGAGGCGAGGAGGGGGGGGGGGGAGGCGAGGAGGGGGGGGGGAGGCGAGGAGGGGGGGGGAGGCGAGGAGGGGGGGGGGAGGCGAGGAGGGGGGGGAGGCGAGGAGGGGGGGGGGAGGCGAGGAGGGGGGGGGGAGGCGAGGAGGGGGGGGGGAGGCGAGGAGGGGGGGGGAGGCGAGGAGGGGGGGGGAGGCGAGGAGGGGGGGGGGAGGCGAGGAGGGGGGGGGAGGCGAGGAGGGGGGGGGGAGGCGAGGAGGGGGGGGGAGGCGAGGAGGGGGGGGGAGGCGAGGAGGGGGGGGGGAGGCGAGGAGGGGGGGGGGGAGGCGAGGAGGGGGGGGGGGGAGCGAGGAGGGGGGGGGGGGGAGCGAGGAGGGGGGGGGGGGAGCGAGGGGGGGGGGGGGGGAGGCGAGGAGGGGGGGGGGAGCGAGGGGGGGGGGGAGGCGAGGAGGGGGGGGGAGGCGAGGAGGGGGGGGGGGGGGAGGCGAGGAGGGGGGGGGGGGGCGAGGTAGGGGGGGGGGGGGAGCGAGGTGGGGGGGGGAGCGAGGTGGGGGGGGGAGGCGAGGAGGGGGGAGGCGAGGAGGGGGGGGAGCGAGGAGGGGGGGGAGGCGAGGAGGGGGGGGGAGGCGAGGAGGGGGGGGGGAGCGAGGAGGGGGGGGAGGCGAGGAGGGGGGGGGAGGCGAGGAGGGGGGGGGGAGGCGAGGAGGGGGGGGAGGCGAGGAGGGGGGGGAGGCGAGGAGGGGGGGGGAGGCGAGGAGGGGGGGGGAGGCGAGGAGGGGGGGGGGGGAGGCGAGGAGGGGGGGGGAGGCGAGGAGGGGGGGGGAGGCGAGGAGGGGGGGGGAGGCGAGGAGGGGGGGGGAGGCGAGGAGGGGGGGGAGGCGAGGAGGGGGGGGGAGGCGAGGGGAGGGGAGGAGGGGGGGGAGGCGAGGAGGGGGGGGGAGGCGAGGAGGGGGGGGAGGCGAGGAGGGGGGGGGGGCGAGGAGGGGGGGGAGGGCGAGGAGGGGGGGGAGGGCGAGGCGGGGGGGGAGGGCGAGGAGGGGGGGGAGGGCGAGGAGGGGTGGGGAGGGCGAGGAGGGGGGGGAGGGCGAGGAGGGGGAGGGAGGGCGAGGAGGGGGGGAGGGCGAGGAGGGGGGGGGGCGAGGATGGGGGGAGGCGAGGAGGGGGGGGGAGGGCGAGGAGGGGGGGGGAGGGCGAGGGAGGGGGGGAGGGCGGGAGGGGGGAGGGAGGGGGGGGGCGAGGAGGGGGGGGAGGGCGAGGAGGGGGGGGGAGGGCGAGGAGGGGGGGGGAGGGCGAGGAGGGGGGGGAGGGCGAGGAGGGTGGGGGGAGGGCGAGGAGGGGGGGGGCAGGCGAGGAGGGGGGGGAGGCGAGGAGGGGGGGCAGGCGAGGAGGGGGGGGAGGCGCGGAGGGGGGGGAGGCGAGGAGAAGGGGGGAGGCGAGGGGGGGGGGGGCGAGGAGGGGGGGAGGTGAGGAGGGGGTGGCGAGGAGGGGGGGCGAGGAGGGGGCGGGGGGGGGGCGAGGAGGGGGCGGGGGAGGCGAGGAGAGGGAGGGGGGAGAAGAGGAGGGGGCGAGGGGGGGGAGGCGAGGAGGGAGGGGGGAGGCGAGGAGGGGGGGGGCGAGGAGGGGGGGGGCGAGGAGGGGGGGGGGGGCGAGGAGGGGGGGGCGAGGAGGGGGGGGCGAGGAGGGGGGGGGCGAGGAAGGAGTTGGGGGGAGGCGAGGAGGGGGCGGGGGAGGCGAGGAGGGGGAAAGGGGGGTAGGGGCGAGGAGGGGGTGGGGGCTAATGGGAGGGGGCTGCCGAATCGATGCGGTCGACGCTCGATTTGTCTCTGAGTTTCTTAGGTTTCTTCCTGGACGCCGCTGGCCACGCGAACGGCGTCTCGCCGTCAAGAAGAACCCCGAGGGGCTCTCGACGAGAGCGATTCGTTGTTTTAAACATTCAACTCAAAGTGAAGACCTCGTTCGCGTTTAAAAAAACAACCCGCGGTGTTTTGCTTTAGCGAATTAGACGGCGATAAAAGTGCCGCGCATTGGGACTCGGGGTACGGGGATCGCGACCCAGTGGCTCGTGGAGTGGAAATTCGCGCTGCTGCTGCTGCTGCTACAAAGCGATGACAGCATCGGCGTCTTTGACAAGGTGAGAGACTCCGAAGGTGGCCCAGAGGCTGCAATGCGGGCAAATGCCCCCCGGGTCGTGAATGTTGTTAACATTATTGGGGTTTGTTGTTGCTGCTTTACTGGTCGACCGAATGATAAACACCGGTTATATCGAGGTATACGCCAGAGTACGGCACATTTACCCGTAGAAATGTCTCGCAGCAAACATAATTTGTGTTAATATATAAAAAAAAACTGAAACGAAGGAAGCTGCCAGACGGCGGTGTAATGGTTAGCGCACTCAACTCGACTTGCAATCCAGGCGACGCCGGTTTCATTCGATCTCCCTGCGCGGCATTTGAAGCAACGTGGTTCCTGACCCCCCCCCCCCACCTCGCCTCTGCCCATCCACCAGCACTGCACAGTGTAAAGGGGCCGGCCATAAATGACGTCACGCACCTAGGGGGGGAGGGGGGTTTGATAATTGTGACGTCACATCGAAATGCGCAACTTTAAATAAATCTAGAATTGTTATAACAACACTAATTGTTATAACAACACTCCTACAACATCAGCGTACAGCGCCACGTTAAATACGCACTACAATGACAATAGTTTAAAGCGATTTGAAGCATGTTTTATTTTCCAAATGGAAATATGATTTTGGGGGAGGGGGCAGAGCTTTGTGACGTCAAATTTGAGGGGGGGCAGAGCTTTGTGACGTCATATTTGAGGGGGGTCTGACTTTTTGTGACGCCGTCCAAAATCGCGTGACGTCATTTATGGACGGCTCCTAAATGGGCACGCCGCCGTCGATCGGCAGTTCGCGTGCGGTGCGGTAAAGTGTGGTGGGTACGCCCAGCTCATCCCAGAAGTCTGGTCAGGGTGGACGATGACACCAAATACCGTAACACGACAGTGCTGCCATAGAGCTCCCTCGAGTGGAGGAGGCTCTTCCGCCGGCATTTAGAAAGCAAGCAATTGGCTGAGAATCGAGAGCAATTTGACTTGTGCCGCCGTGCCGTTAGCACGTTAAGCGCATGCCAACCAGTGCATTCATTACTAAAATTTACACAGGATATGGTTACCGGGCCCAGACTTTCTGAACCGGCAATCATCTTCTGAAAATGGTTACCAGTTTATAGCAGTTGTTGCGTAACAACCCCAAAAAAACATTACATAACATCTGGTGCGACGCCTTGATTTGCCAAAAATTTGGCCTAAGAATCTTAAATTTAGTTTGTGAGGTGACGAACATTACTCTCATATGGAATAATTGGTGGGAAAGTGCTACCCCACCTATTGTGCAGAACAGCGGTTACTTGGAGGGATCTGAGGAGAGAAAGTTCTGTTATATCCACTTCAGTGGGACATTCTCTAAGACGAAAGTTTGCACAGCATTGTGTGAGATAATGGATGTTTTGCCTCATGACATGACACTGTAGCACAATCAAGATATTCTTTGTGGGAAATTTAAATCAGTCGTTGAGATTGACTATTTCTTAATTTAACCAGGGAGACTATTGAGATTCATTCTTAATTATATTTAAGGCCGTATTCACAACTGGTCTTGAGCCTTGAACGGGGGACAGGGAGTCGACAGCACGAATGGCTGGGAGAAAGGGGACTGCAGACGAGGGGGGGGCAGCAGGGGAGAATAAGCAAATAACACTACTAATAAATGGTAAAAACGAGACCAAACTGATTAGAAAATGTATTATTTTATTATTGAGTTGAATCACAGCCCCGAATTGTGACATTGAATCACTACTCTTGAAAGTCATCAATATTAAAGCTCCAGCATTCATCTTCCCTTTGCTAAGCCATGCAAGACCCCGCTGATGGAGAGTCTTTATCTTCTAACCCCAACTCTCTCCTCGCGCTGCTCCCTTCCCTGTCCAGGATGGACGGCCCCCGTGCGAGGGGGCCCACGGCAGGACGGGGCCGTGGTCGAGGAGGGGTCCCCCCCAGGCCTCCGGGGAGCGCGTGGGCGGCGGGGGTGCCCGGAGGAGTTGCGGGGTCGCTTTTCCCGGGCGGTAGAGGTCGAGCTGGAACCCCTGCTCGCCCTCCAACTCCGGTGGCAAGAGGTCAACCGGGGCCAAATATGGGGCCCGCTGCTGGTGGGGTGAAGGTGGCGCGTGGGGGCGCATCCATGGACGGTAAGAGAGACAGCCGTGGTTGAATAAGAAAGAAATACAGTCACGGGCAAACTCGTTATCCCCACATCCTCTTGTTCCCCAATGTGACCCATGTACCCATTCCTCCTCCTCTCCGTGTCTGTATTGCTGTGTCTCCCCTTCACCCCCTGTCTCCATGTTTTTCTCTCCCCTTTTCCCCTGTGTTTCTGCATTAACTTTTCCCCTTGAACCCCATGTTCCGTTTTCTCCCGTGTCTTGTCCATTTCTTCTTGTGTCCCCCATGATCCCATTGTGTCTGTGTTCTTCTTTATTCCTTTCCCTTCTCTTCCATGTCCCCGTGTCCCCCGTGTCTCTTGGTTTTATGACTCTGTGTCTCGACATCTCCTTCCTTGTGCCCGTGTATCTTGTGTCTCCCTGCTCTCTTCATCCCCGTGTCACTTTTCCCCGTGTCCCCATGTCGTTATCTCTCTTTTGTCCCCATGCAACTGTGTGCGCATCTCCCTCCATCCAACCCTTGTCCCTGTACCAGGCCGCTCAGCCCAGCAGAGATTCCACGAGGCTCAACTCGCCAACCAGGCGGCCGCCAGAAAATTCACCAACGATTGCGACAGGTCCACCTCCTCGGATGATGACGACGACGACGATGAGGATAACGACGTTAAGGAAGCGCAGAGCAACAGAATCCTGGACTCGGCACTCCGCCAATACACAGGGCAAGCAGGCAAGTGCTTAAATGTGCATTTATGCATGTGTACATGTGTGTATGCACATGCCGTACACATGGGTACACATCACAATTTGGGGTCGAATATTTATCCAATTATGGATATTTTTGTTGTCTCGTTTGTACTAACCCGTTTGTGTTGTTTCTCATTTTCCCTGTCTTGTTGCCAGTTTTATTTAAAATCTCCATGAGTCGAAATGTAACGTGAGAATACCTTTGCATGTAATGTGTAAAAAATATCAACACAAGCGGTTGTCATCAGGCAATTTATAAAGGTTTGGGGACCCTCCAGAAAGATAGTCTTCAGACTCAGTGAAGCTTTCCTAGGTACACAGGCATAATCTGCCTGTATATCTCTATGCATCGCTCCATGTGTCTCCAGAACCAAACAGTAGTCTCAGCCTTCTGCTCTGCAATCTCTTAATAATGCCTTTTATTTGCCCAGGAACGAACTCTGTTATGGATTATTTTTTGAAAAATTATATTAATGAGTGTTTGGCTTCATGTGGAAAAAAACTGGAGAACTCGGATAAACTCCACCGAGCACATGAGGGTATAACACAGCCATCTTCTGGCCACCTTGCAGCCCCATGACCGACTATGACTTGTGGAAAGCCCCGGGGGGTCGACCATGCAAGCACTAATCGAGCTCGATCCCCTGTGTGCGTGTAGGCACGGAGGGGGCGGTTGTGCTGGAGAGGACGAGGCAGCTGCTTGAGGAGTGTCTGCAGTCGGGGGCGCTCTCCTGTCTCGTGTGCATCAGCAGCGTGAAGCGCACGCACGCCGTGAGCGCGCGCACGCGTGTGGCACACATAGCACACGCCACACACACCACTCACACACTCTGAATGGTGTACACTACGCACACGCGCATAGCTTACACCACTCACACACTCTGAATGGTGTGCACCACACATGAATAGCATACACCAAACACACGCTGTGAATGGTGTAAACCATACACCACATGCACACATTCATAGCATACACCATACAGACCACGAATGGTGTACACCACACACATGCATAGCATACACCTCACACACTAAATGCTGTACACCACACACATGCATAGCAAACACGGCAAGCTGTAAGCACACGCCACACTCACACGCACTGCACAGCATGCATCACTCACACGCGGTACTATGGAAGACACCACACACTGGACTGAGGGGAATCATACAATGTGTACACCATACGTGCACACGCAGCATGTGCAGAGTACTCCACACATGCACACTTAGTGTACACCACACATTCGCTCATTGCTTGCACAGCTGCACCCTACATGCACGTATACATCATATCCCGCACATGCACCCACACGTACTACTTGTAACCATGTGCACTACATGTACCCCTGTGCATTGTGTCTAATCGTATGTATTGCATGTACCTATGTGTATTGATTGTATCCATATGTATTGTGTATGTGCGTGCAGGTGTGGAGCTGCATGGGATGCTACAGCGTGTTCCACCTGCCGTGTGTGCAGCAGTGGGCTCGGGACAGCGCTCGCCTCGCTGTGCCCTCCCCGCTCTCCCCACAGCACTTCCCGGCTGTCGACACGCCCTGGCACTGGTGCGCATGGGGATACATGGGGGGGGGGGAGGGAGGACGGAGGGTTTTCGCCTTCGCAAGGCAGGATGTCGGGACGGCCGCGAACTTTAAAGGGTTCCTGAAAAGTTGTTGATTAGTCTTTCGTCAATTAATAAGCAGCCAATATATCTGCTTGATATATCTATCCACATACAAACTAAACTTATTATTACACTTTTCATTAACCAGGAGGCCTTTTGGGAGTCCACTATTTCAGCAGATGGGTGCAATAGAAGCACACTTTGGACCGGTTTTGACATGCAGTGTGTCTTCAGTAGTCTAGGTTGCTTGAACCAATGCTGGTGAACTGCCAGGTGTTATAGGTAAGAAGCCGCTATTAGTTGTGGGTCACAATCTTTTAGTCTATCAACTTTACGACGAATATTCCGAGCTCTAATCGCAGCGCGTCCCCACGGCGCGCGTGCAGCCCCAAGTGCCGTCACGAGTACGCGCGGAAGGAGGCACCCAGCGTGTACTACTGTTGGTGCGGCCGGGAGCCCGACCCCCGGCCCGACCCGTGGCTCGTGCCGCACTCGTGCGGGGAGGTGTGCAACCGCGAGCTGCGGCCGTCCTGTGGCCACCGCTGCCTCCTGTTGTGCCACCCGGGTAACTCATACACTTGTGTACAAAAACACGCATGCATGCATGCAGAGGGCTGCCAATCCACACACGCATGGCTGCCCACCCACCTACACACACCGACATAGACAAAAATGTTGGCCACCCACCCCCTCGTGTGCTGTTCTGGTCTTCATAGGTGCTCGCTAAAAGCACTTGCCCCAACAGTCTGTTAAGGTTGTACAGCAGATGTTTGTATTTGCCTTTGTGTCTTGACATGTTTTCATTCACTCCTTGTGTGCATGCTCCCCTGCTCCCAACCCCCACACTCCAATGCCCCGTGCAGGCCCGTGCCCCCCTTGCCCCCAGGTGGTGCGCGTCCCATGCCACTGTGGAGGGGGCGGCGTTCAGAGCCGGCGCTGTGGGGGGCGTGCGTGGTCGTGCGGCACCCCCTGTGGTCGCGCCCTGCCATGCAGGCAGCACAAGTGCAGCGTAACGTGCCACGCAGGTACACACGGCGTGTATACACACACGCGTCGTGCATGCACATACGCTACGTGGGTATGCAGTACTTGCCTCAACAGACTATTTGGGGGATCATTGTTTTGTGTGTGTGTATGTGGTCTATGTAGGTTGTGGGGGACTATACTATAGCGGTTAGCGCTCTACGCTACAATCCCAGCCACCCGAGTTTGATGCCCACTCAGGGCCAACACCAGTGATAAATATCTGAAATAGTCCTGGGCCTTCCCGGGGTCGATTCGGCCCCAAAATCAGTACCTGGTACGGTGCGTAAACATTTGCACTGAAGAGACAACGGCGGCCGGGCGTGGTGCTGGTGACCCCCACCCCCTTGTGTGCCGTGCTGACCTTCATAGGTGCTCGCTAACAGCACTTGCCTCAACAGTCTATTCAGGGTATACAGGGGGACCTTGATCTTTTTGTATGTAGGTGAGTGTCCCCTGTGCCCGCACGTGAGCTCCCAGCTGTGCTGCTGTGGGACCTCGCGTGCTATGAGGCCGTGCAGCTCCCCTGACTGGCAGTGCATAAAGGTAACATGTGAGCACACACACAAACACACACACCCACACGCATTCAGAAATGCACACACACTAAGACATAGTCATACACACGATTACGCACCTGTGAATCTTACCCATGATGCAATGCATGCATAGTAAGCGTGAGCCTTGATTTGAATCAATGAATCGATGCATTATTACATGCCTAAAGCAGTGCATGATGAACCTGTTCAGTTCCTGGCCACAGTTAAAGAGGAGTATGGAATATTTGAACCGGTCCTTGGTCTCCCATTAGTTGACTCAGCCTTCCCTGATTACCAGGTGTAACGTGTTAATAAACATCAGCATTGGGGAGAGGCAAAGGGGGCCATGTCTGGTGATGGCCACATTACTTTCTCATGGTCGCAAACAGCACTCTCCCCAACAGCCTATATCGGTTATACGGGAGATTTCAATGCTTATCTGTGCATCAGGCACCTCCGATTAGCACAGTTGGCTACATACAGTGTGAAAGAAGTTTAATTTATATAAGTGTGCATCTGTGTATATCTGCACACGTGTGCCCTGGTGTGCATGGGTGTGTGCACGTTGTGCATGAAGGCATTTAAGTGCAACGTACACAAGTGTGAGCATGTGTGTCTGCATATTTGGGGAGTGGTAGGGTCGCGGTTAGCGCTACAAACCCAGCGACCCAAGTTTGATTCCCACTCACAATATCTAAACCGGACCTGGGTCGACTCGGCCTCAAATGAGCACCTGGTGCGGTGTGTAAACATCGCCACTAGGGAGGCAAAGGCAGTCTGGTGTGGTGCTAGCCACCCACCCACTTGTGTGCCGTGCCGGCCTTCGTAGGTTCTTGCAAAGAGCACTTGCCCCAACACAGGCGGGTCTTTGTATGCGTACGTGTCAGGTGTGTGGGAAGGCATTTGACTGTGGCGTACACACGTGTGAGCTCGTGTGCCACGCGGGGGCGTGTGGTTCGTGTCCACGCTCCGGGGAGCGCAGCTGTCCCTGCGGAAAGACAAGTACGTACACACGCATATGCGCACACGAGCGTGCACGCATCCACCTGCTCACACACTTTCACACACACAAGTAACTCATGCACACGCACATACCTACAAATACAAGTGTACAAAGACACATGAACACGTACACACGTACTTGTACACGCACACACGCATACACGCATGTGCATACACATACATGTGCATGTACATGTGTGTACACGAGGATATGTGCACACTCACTTGCATGATGATAATTTCAAGTGGAAGATGAGATGATGGACAGGTCTGACAATAATTGCGGTGACCGTTGAAAAATTGTTGACGCCTGCAATTCATTATTATCATGTAGACGATGGTAACAATGATGATGGTGATCATGGATCATGATGTCGCTGATGGAAATGAAGCCAATGATCACGACACGGCTGATGAGGCATCTTATGATCTTGGCAATGCCGACCACACCGGTCAATACTGACGATGCTGTTGATGGTAATGATGATGACAACAACGCTGATTATGCTGATGCTGCTGCTGACAATGTTGTTAACTATGCTGCCGATGAGGCTGCTGCTGCTGCTGCTGATAATGATGGTGATACTGGGGGCCAACCCTGCAGGGTGCTCCTTGCCGTGCACGGAGGAGGTGCTGCTGTGTGGGGACACGTGTGGCCGCCTCTTGTCATGCGGCGTCCACACCTGCGCACAGCGCTGTCACCGTGGACCCTGCGACACCTGCCGGCAGGTGAGGGGGCGGGGACTGGGTGGTCAGGGGTAGGGCTGAACGATTTGGGGAAAATATCTAATTGCAATTTTTCTGACAGATATTGCCATTGCGATTGGATTTGCGATTACATTTTTTTAAGTCAAGCTTCAGTTCAATATTCACTGTGTAATAGATTTAAAACGTGATGGAGCATTACCACATGATACCATCAAAATATGAACTTCTCTATGTATTCTAATGCAAGGATGAGAACTTGACAGATATGAATTGCTTCCAACATGTATTTATTTAAATGTTTTAATTGAAATAGAACAATCAAACATAGAACAAATGTTAAGTTAAATAAGTAAAGGTATAATAATAAATAATAAAACAATTCAAATAAGAAAGTAATAGGACTTTTCAAATCGCAAAAATCCGCAGCCTTTGCGATTTGCTAATCGCATTGTTTCAAATTGCGATTTAGATTTGAAATCGATTAATCGTTCAGCCCTAGTCAGGGGCAGGCCAAGGGTGGGCGTGGCAGTGCTGGCCTTGGTGAGGGTTAGCTGGGCTGCGTGGTGAGTGTCTGTGTTGTTTCCGTGTCCCTGTGTCCCTACGTCATGGCGCTCACGTGCAGGTGGTAGAGAAGGTGTGTCGGTGCGGTCGCCACTCGAAGGCGATGCCGTGCCTCAAAGAGTATCTGTGCGACACGCGCTGCACCCAGCAACGCACCTGCCAGCGCCACGCCTGCCGGCGCAAGGTGTGTACGTCCACACACGTGTATTTGTGCATCGGATCAACATCGCTACCCCTCGTTTGCCCCCGTGGCCTTAATAGGCACTCGCTAACTAACATCAATCTGTCTGACAGGCAGTCCATTTCATTTGGCTTATCTTTGTATGTCAGGCTTGTTACCAATACGTCAACCGTCGTCGATGCTTCTCTGTGCCCCGATGTGTTCCTGCACGTCCCCGTGGATCCCTTTGTGTTCATCTGTGTCCCTACTTGTCCTTTTGACCCCGTCTTCCCGGGTACCTGTCCTCTCTCGGTGTGCCCACCACTCCACAGTGCTGTGACGGGAGCTGCCCACAGTGCGACCAGGTGTGCGCCCGTTCCCTCTCCTGCAAGAACCACAAGTGCTCCTCCATTTGCCATCCCGGTGAGATGTGTGCAGGGCATCGTGCCTGTGGGGGTGGGTGGGGGTGCAGTTGGGCATGCATGGACGGGGTATGTGCAGCGAGGCATTGGTGAGGAGTGCGGTATATGGCGAGTGTGGCGGGCAGTGCGAGTGAGTAACGAGCGCGAGGTGTGCGTGGTGAGTGTGAAAAGCGTGGAGGTGAGTTGTTACGGTGAGTGTGGTGACAGTGTTAAGAGTTGTGAGTGCGGTAGCTGCGTGCATGATGAACGCGGTGAGCGTGGTGGGTGTGTGGTGACTGTGCCATGCCTCTGTGCTTCAGGCAGCTGCTATCCGTGCGGGGTGAGCGTGGAGGTGAGCTGTGCATGCGGTTCCACGAATGTCACGGTGCCGTGCGGTAGGGAGAAGCACACACGCCCCCCACGCTGCAAACAGCTGTGCAGGTGCGAACCCCCCCCCCCCACCACTACGTTCCTTACACCCCTTGTCCGTGCGTCCCCATTGTGTACGTACAATACACTCGAGATTTCTCTAGCAGCGTCTAAATGTTATCGCATCTCAAGAACCTGTAAAAAACTATGAGCATAGTTTCATGAAAAACAGAACTATGTCTCGTGTATTCCTGTGTGTATGTACGTACCCTTGTCTCTCAGTGTGTCCTCGTGAACCTGTGTTTGTGTGCCCATGTGTACGTGCATGCTTGCGGGCATATGTGGGTATGTATTAATGCGTGCGTGTGTTTGCGTTTATCCCCTGTGTGTGTACATGCTTGTTTGTGGATGTGCACGCGCACGTGTGTGTGTACATGCGTTTGTGGATGTGCGCGTCTGTGTAAATGCGTGTTTGTGGATGTGCGCACGTGTGTTGCTTGTGCAGCGCCCAGTCGGACTGCCACCATGCGGCACGCGAGCCCCACCGCTGCCATGGGGGGCCGTGCCCCTCGTGCCGCCAGACGTGTCGCCTCCCGCTCAAGCCGTGCGGGCACGTGTGTCCCGCCCCGTGCCACGATAACGACACGCTCGCCGAGCCCGCCGCGGTGAGTCGCACTCGCACACACGAAACGACACACACAAATGCACACTCAAAGACGCAGGCTAAGACCGCCCCCCGTGTAGCCCTTAAACTAAACTAAATAATTTTTATTTTACAAGGTGAGGCCCAATGAGCCATATAGCTCTTTTTCAGAAGCAAAGTGGCTAGTCATGTGGAAATTTATAGCAGCCAAATACTCAAAACGCATGATTCTAAATGTGGAGGGAAAAACTGGAGGACCCAGAGAAAAATCCATACGACCACGGGGAGAATATGCAAACTTCAAATATACAGGCGTCAGGGTCTGGATCGAACCCGTGACCTCCTGCATACCAGGTAGGTAACGTCTCGCCACTGTAACTGCCCCCTCTCTGACAGTCACCAGAACCATGCTCCCGAGAGCCCCTTTCCATGCCATATAAACTCTGGTGCCAGAGAGAGGCTCTAACATGCACAGTTCCACTCTTGTATGAGTAGTTGGCGCTAAACGCCGTAGTGACTCAATATACGTCACTACACATTTATCATGTGTACACTGTCATTAATAAGGCTATTACCGATACCCCAATGAAGCCCTCGTATATCGCTCATAGGTAAAAAATAGCACTTTCGGTAACGCACCTCCATTGGAACCATGTTATAACGACCTCCTATAGCGCTGTTTCGTATAGCGTTCCGTTATCAAAAATGCATCCTGAGTGATAAAAGAGGTATGCCTGTACACAGAAGTACACAATTACACAAACACAAGCCGGCACAGTGTACTAACTGTTGTATTACTGTGCCCCGCTCTCACATTAATGTGTATATATACACATATAAATATATGGGGTGGAGCAGTGGCACAGTGGTTTGCACACTGCACCATGCACCTAGCAACCTGAGTTCGATTCCCAGCCACGGCGAGTGATATCTCAACTGTTCCTGGGCGCGGCTTTACCCAATCCACACTGACGAACGTGGTGGAGTATTGTCAAACAACCGACATGTCCAGCGCAATGTCTTGTGGGTACCTGTACATCTCTACATATATCTGCGGATGTCTGTACATGACTGCAATCTACAATGCTCATAAACGTTTGCACGCTCGTGTTTCTGCCCATGCATTGGTGCATGTGCCTGTGCGTGTGTGTGCCCGTGCGTTTGTGTACATGTAGGCTCAGCGCGCTGGCCCCTGGGAGCTGCCAGCGCCCGTGGTGAAACGGGCGGTGTCGTGTCCACCGTGCATGCATCCCACCCCCACGTATGTACACGTACCCATGCGCACGACTCACGTGTGTACGATACAACACAAAGATCCCCCGTATAGGGAAACTGCTGTTAGCGAGCACCTACGAAGGCCAGGATGGCACACGAGGGGATGGGTGGCCAGCACCACACCCCCACACACACAGACACACGCAGACCACATGTGTACACACACACAGCCTGCACACCGATGCATATAGCTCATGTGTGTACACACTCGTACACACATCCCACCTGTGTCCAAATATATTGAAAAGGATCCCCCGTATATCCTTTCACAGATTGTTGGGGCAAGTGCTGTTAGTGAGCACCTATGAAGGCCAGCACGGCACACAAGGGGGCCCTAGATCAGTTAAAATATGCACCTATGTTGTTGGTTGTGAGCAGGGATCAAACTCGGTTGCCAGATGTGTAACAAAGTGTGCTAACCACTGCACTTCTGCTCCTCACTGACACATACCCATGCACACAGCCCACATGTGTACAGACACACACAGACTGTGTGTATACACACATAGCCCACACACCCTCGCATACAACTCACATATGTACACACAGTAGACTCGCAAACACCCACACACTGGCCATATATGTACACACTCCTGTGTAATAGACCACAGTTGGAGGATGTTATGTTCATCATTGTAATATGAATCTGTAGTAACATGTGCACGTGTGTGCATGTCCGTACGTACATGCTTTTGTGTTTGCGTGTGTATTTCAGGAAATGCCTGGGAGGCCATGAGGTGAGCACTGCACGCCCACGGACTTCAACTCGCGTACACACGCATTCAAACCCGCACTCTGATTCTCCCGTGTAGGAGTGCAGTGTGTAAGTTGTTGCGGCGCCGTGTGGATGTGGCATTGCGATGACGACGTGGTTTGTGGTGTTATATGCTGATGGTTTGAAATTCTGAGTGGTGTGGTTTGGTGTGACGTGAGATTGTGACGTGAGATAGTGACGAGTCTGCCAGTAGTGTGGTTTCATGCGGTGTGATGTGACATACTGGTTTTGCAGTGTGCAGTTCGGTATGACCCTCGTGCTGGTAGTCGATTGTAACACGGTGGAGTGTGACGTGTTTGTTGTGTAGTGCAGCACATGCATGTGCGCATGTGTGCGTGCGAATGCTTTGTGGTTTTGTGCACTGCGCCACTAACCCAGTCGCTTGAATTTGATTTCCGGCCGTGGCTAACATCAGTGTCGAGTGATGTATGAACCGGTCCTGGACCTCCCCTAGGGCGACTTATTCACAAATGAGCATCTAGTACGATGTGTGAACATCACCACCGGACATAAAATGGTGGACAGGCGTGGTTCTGGCCACACCACCTCCTCGTGCACTGTGATAACATTAAAATGGTGCTCAGTAATAGCACTTGTCCCGGCAGTCTGCGTCGGGTATACAGGGGATCTTTGCGTGTGTGTCCATGTGTGTGCGTGCATGCAGGAGAGTGCGTTGCCGTGTCACGCCGCCCGCCCCTCCTCGTGCGGCCGTGCGTGTGGTCGATTGCTGGTGTGTGGGAACCACACCTGCTCGCTGGTGTGCCACGCCGTCACGGGCTCCGGCCTACAGGTGTGTACATGGTGTCTGCATACAGTGTGTGTACGTGCATTAGCGTACGTGTGTTATGTCGTAACCAACCCCTTGTGTGCTGTGCCGGTCTTCATTAGTGCTCACTTAAAGCACTTTCCTTTTCTGTATGTTAAGGTTATACGGGGGATCTTTGTTTTTGGTGTGCGATGTACGTGCCAGGCCGGCCCGGAGTGTGCGGTGTGCGAGGAGGGGTGTGCACGGTCCCGCCCGGCGGGGTGTACCCACCGGTGCAAGCGCCGGTGCCACCTGGGCCCCTGCCCGGCCTGCACACACACCATACGCACACCCTGCCACTGCACACTCGTGTCCATCCATCTGTCTGCAGGTGTGCATGTACACAACACACACACACAGTGGTAATCACCATACATGCGCACCCACACACACACACCACTCCTAAGTACACAACAAGGTACACACTGCCTCTCAAACGCACGCGCCAATCAACAATGCACGCCGACACATGCACACGTTGCATACCACATTTACGCACTAAAATGCACCCCACACACACATGCACTGATGTCCACCCTTATATGTATGCATGTTGAACTTCTTTCGCACCGTACGCAGCCAACCGTGCTAATCGGAGGTATGGTGAAGGATAAAATACTAATCACAAAAACAGTTCCCTATGTATTTTTCATATTCTCACTTGTCTGTGTTTTCTTGCATCTATGTATGCGTGTCTCCATGTCCCCGCCTCCTCGCATGTTGTCTCCTTCCGTATCCATGCCTTAACTTTGTGCCCATCCCCACGCTGGTCCACACTTGGGCCTGGTGGCATCTCCACGTGTTCTGCGAGCACCTGCAATCTCGTGTGTGCCTCTGTGTGTCCCGCCCCACAGCGAGCTGCTCTCCGCCGGTGAGACGGAGCGAAGCAAACTGCTCTCCTGCAAGAACCAGTGTCCGCGAAAGGTATGCACCGCACCCACCGTATATACGGTACGCACCACAGTGTATGCTCTAAGTGTGCGTGGGCTCGTGCGTGTGTGTTTAGCTGTTGTGTTCTTGTTGTGTTCTGCACTCTGTGTGTGTGTGTGTGTAGTTGGAGTGTGGACATCGCTGCCGCGCCCTTTGCCACCCGGGCGCGTGCCAGACCGGCGAGGCGTGTACGCACCGCGTGCGCGTGCGGTGTGCATGCACGCGCATCAAGAAGGTACCATGCACACATGCACCGCTGTTCTCTATTTGCGTGGTGTGCGAATTTGGGGTGTATGTGAGGAGTGGTAGTACAATGGTTAGTGCGCTGCGCTACGAACCCAGCGATTCGGGTTCGATTCCCGCTCACGGCCAACGCCAGTTACGACCTCAAACATCTGGCGGGGGATGGAGTCGCGGAGACAAATGCACATCTCCTTGCCAACCAGGTGTGCCTTGTCCCTACATGCACACAGGAACACAATGTTCAGCACACTGCGCTACAAACGCGGCGACCACAGTTCGACTCCCGCTTATAGCCAACATCGGCGACGAATATCTCAACTGGTCCTGGGTCTGTCCTAGGTCGACTCAGCCTCAAATGAGTACCTGGTGCGGTGTGTAAAATCATCACCACTGGGGAGACAAAGGCGGTCGCGCATGGTTCTAGATACCCACCCCCTCGCATACCGTGCCGGCCTTCATAGGTGCTCGCTACCAGCACCTGCCCCAAGTCTGTTAACGCTATACGGGGGATCTTTGTTGTGTTTGTGTGTTTGTGTGTATGGGTTGCTCGTGGGTATGTGCGGTGTGTGTTCACTATGTGTGGTGTTCGAATGTGCTGTGGTGTGTGTATGGTATGTGTGGTGTGATGTACATGGTATTTGTGGTGTGCTCACGTGGTGTTCTGTGTGGCTTGTATGTAGGACTCGGTGTGCTGGAAGGTTCAAACTGGCCAGCTGCGCGTGGATTGTGATGAGGGATGCGAGGAGGAAAAACACAAACTCCAGCAGGTACATAATTGCCGAGTGAGCGGTCAGCACTCTTAATTACTGAACCGTGGTGTAATGCATTGTCTGTGTGGTGCATGTGTGGCAAAAATAGAATAATGTTACATAAGGCAGCCTGCACACAATTTCCATCCTCCCTCAGCAGTTGGCTTGGGAGGTCATCCCTGCCCTGGTCTCAGGCTCTGTATCGCTCTTTGCACCTTTAGGGCAGATGTGAAATCAGCCATCCACTCACAAATGATGACTATTTCCTCCAACTTTTGAGGCTATGCCACCGTCACAGCAACTGGAGGGGTTTGCCCTGTGTGCGTGGTGTGTGTGAGTGGTGGGATAGAGAAGAGATGGCTCATGTGGTACATGAGGATATGGAGCTGAGTGGACATACCGATGACTGGTACCAGCAGTGTTAAAATTGGCCTCTGTGGAGGAGACTCGTGAAGGACGCTACTGAGCAGTTGGAGGCAGTCGCCCTCCAGCAACAACGGAGGGCAGAGGAGCGACGCTCACAACGAGCAAAGCACCGGGTGGCTAAAGCGCAGCAAGTTGGCACAGTAGGGGGCACAGGTGGTGCATCGGCCAGTCATCTCAGTCGACCTGTGGCACCTGCTGGGTCTGCCCCATGACCTACACTCACGTGGCCTCCACGTGCACATAGCCTGGCACAAGCGCCATGGTGACGTCACCGCCACTTAGTGGCAAATGACGGTTGTTGTGCGTGTATGCTGCAGGGGTGCAGGCCGAGCCAGGGCCACACGAGGCAATACTTACAACAACAGTCGGAGTGCCAGGCAGCTAAAACGCAGCTAGTGGGCACAATTGGGAGCACCGGTGGTGCTTCTGCCATTCAGTCAACCCATGGCACCTGTGTCCATCCCATGATACTTCACGTGGCCTCAGAGTGCACCTAGACTGGCTTGGGCACTGTGGTGACATCCCTGCCACTCGGTGGCGAATTGCGGATATTATTGTTGTGGAATGGTTCGGTGTGATATGCTCGGAATATGTAAGTGGTGTAAGTGGCGCAGGATGCGTCGGAAAGTGTTCTTTGCTTGTGGTGCATGTGCGGTATGTGGTATCGTGCGTGCGGTGTTTGTTGTGTAGGTGAAGTTTGCCGAGGAGCAGGCTGCCTTAGAAGAAGAGGAGAAAAAGAAACAGGTGATGCACGCACACACCCAACTATACATGACAAAACAATGGTCGCCATTCAGCACTTAGTGACAGTGACCTCACCATGGTGCTTGTACCAAGCGAGGTGCACTTTGAGGCCACGTGAAGTTGTCGAAGGCTTGCTAGCAGGTCACGGAACAGCCCCAAGTGTTATATGGGGTAACTGGGATGACAACTTGGACATACACATACCCTTACTCATGAATTAACATCTCAACACAAACACACCTGTACATAAAGATAAAGATCCCCCGTATAGCCTTAACAGACTGTAGGGGCAAGTGCTGTTAGCGAGCACCTATGAAGGCCGGAACGGTACACGAGGGGGTGGGTGGCCAGCACCACGCCCGACCGCCTTTGTCTCCCTAGTGGCAATGTTTACACACTGCACCAGGTACTCATTTGAGGCTGAATCGACCTAGGGCGTAGCCCAGGACTGGTTCAGATAATCGTCACTGGTGTTGGCCGTGAGCAGGAATCGAACTTGTGTCGCCGGGTTCGTAGCGCAGTGCGCTAACTGCTAAGTGACCACTCCCCACACACCTTAGTACACGTATGCAAACCTCCACCGATATGAACTCGCACTCAGCTGTGATTTTAAACTTTACTTCATCATTTGAATTTGCCAGTGGGTTTGGACCTCCATGCTGCCGCATGTCTCCGTGTCCCTATGTTTGTGTCTTCCTGTTACCCATCTCTCCATCCCAGTGTGTGTGTGCATATTCCCTCTTTCCCACGTGTCACTGTGTCCTTCTGTGTCCCCATGTCTCCCTTTGTGTTCCCGTGTCTCCCCATCTGTTCCCACGTGTCCTCGTGAATCCCCATGTCTCTGCGTCTTATTTTATCTCGCTGTTCCTGCGGCCTGTCTGTCCCCCGTACGTCCCCATACATTCCTGTTTGTTCCTGTGCAGGCGGAGCTGGAGTCTTACGCGCGTCTCTTCGGGAAGAAGCGCCGTCGCGAGCGCTCCCAAGCACTCTCCGCACCCGCTGCCTCGCACACGCGCAGGAACATCGCCATCACAGCCATCGCCGCCACCGTCATCGCCATCATCGCTTCCGCTGTCTCTTACATATACAAGGATTGATCATTACCCATCATCGCATTCATCACCATCATCACAACCATCATCGCCATTATCACGAGTATCACCATCATCATCATTGCCATCATCATCACTGTTATAACCTAGGCCAGTTTGGACTAACACTCACCTTCGCCATGACCCTCGTCAGCACAGGTACACTCAATACTATAACAATGTTGATGGTGGTGATATATTAATGCGGGCTGTTTACTTGAGGGTAATACAATCATGTTTGTTGTTGGAATAAATGGAGCTCATATAGTGATTAGACACACGACCCGAGGCCTACGCACAGCAGACACACATCCGTACACCGATGTACCCCCTTTGTCATTCTATGAATTTTCACGATTCGGGATGGCAATATTTAATCAAATAGATTCTATTAACCAAGTTCTTAGTTGACTGTCTTAGCCCGGCCACTAATGGCTGCACAAAAAAAGCCCATCGCATTATAGATTGACCGCAGTGAATTTTTTAAAATGTATTCTTGAATTGAACTGTGGCCCTGAATTGAAATATTTCTTACAACTGCAATGGGGTGAATTGTTCACCCCCCTTCCACCCAATGAAAAACCACAGTAAATAATACCAGTCACTCGCACTCGCCATACACACCACTCTTGCCCACCACACCACTCGTGTTCCTAACACATGTTCACCACACACACTACTCATGCTAATCACACATACACTGCTCGCAGTGATATACATTTGTTCTCAAAAGAATTGTGTTTGAAAGTGATGTGCGCATGTTAAAGAAGAGATATACGGGCAGGAGCGTTCCACTAGAATGGATGGGTCCAAGTCCTGATAGGGTGTTACTCCCCAAGCCGTCATCATCTCAGGCTCATGGTACCACGATCCAATTTTACGTCTGTGCATGAGTCTATTGTATCACTCCATCTCATATTAGAAGGGGAGACATCCTTTGGCAAAATTGTTCAGAGCAACATTATTAAGTGTTTTGTTTTCTCCATTAGCTTGACCAGAGAGACAATGGCATATAGAGACGTACATAAAAAAATTAACTCCATTAAACTGTACACAAATGCACAGCCTTGTACTGCCATCTGCTGGCCACATAGCCAAACTAATTTTACTATGTCCTGAAGTCAGACCGTTTCATGAGCAGATCTTGATTCCCCAATTTGACGTCTCACCCCACCACCTCTGAGCTTGCTTCGTGAACAAGATTTAGTTTAAATAAGGGGCCGTAAGTCAGATTCCGTGGGGCGTGGTGCTGGAGTCGGCAACGACGTTGGTCCCATCGCCTTCAGTGAGTACCCGCGGCACGCAGGAGAGCCACGTTGGCAGCAGGACGGGGCAGGTAAGGGGCCGTCCATAAATGAGGTCACGCACCTAGAGGAGGGGGAGGGGGTGAGAAATGTGACGTCACATCAAAATGCGCAACTTTAAATAAATATAGACAACACGTTCTACTTAATTAAATAGACATTCTCCGACAACAGAGTGCAGCACCACATTAAATACGCACTACAATGACAATAGTTTAAAGCGATTTGAAGCATGTTTTTTTTGGGGGGTGGGGCAGAGCTTTGTGACGTTATACAGTATTTGAGGGGGGGGGTCTGACTTTCTGTGACGAAGATGGGGGGGTCAAAAATCGTCCAAAATCGCGCGACGTCATTTATGGACGTCCCTTAAGGTGGTCGGCGGTTGCGGACAGAAGGTTTTGGGAAGGAAGAGTCAAATCTAATTGTGTTTTTGCTTCAACACTTGCGCACCTTACTAGCACATCTGCCACGCATTGAGCGAATTTCACAGTGGAATCGCAGCAGCCAGCCAGGCCCAACGACGCATTCTGCCGATATACCGTCCCTCCACATTCTAAACGTTGCAAGGCAACGATTGTGACCATGGGATGAAGCCCTCCTCCCATCAGGCCCAGCATGCCACGTGCCATCACGCTGTGTATTTTATGCACGCAGCGGTATTATTGATTAATTAAGGCAAACATGGGGCTGTATTATTGAGACCACTGGATACCAGTTTCGTGCTTACACGTAGTATGGTGAGGTTGCGTGGCATGCAAGGCATGACGGGCAGACCGATTGTAATCGTGCATTTCGGTGTATATAAATTACCTTGTACGTGCATTGCATACCCAGGGAACATACAACGTTGGCATGTGGTTGGAAACGTACTTTCCAACCCTACCGATTTAAGCGTTATTCTGCCAATGTTTTTACCGCGACACCAAATAACCGAATTTCGATATTCATCATTTCCCTTGTTAATGCGATCTTTGCTTTGATAATTAGTTTGCGGTAACATTGTTTTTTAAGTGCAACCTGCTGCTTACACTGGTAGGGTTAGCCGTATTGCTAGGTTTACTCAGCATTTACCCAGTAAAACACGCAATTCTGAGCCAACGTTGGTCTATCATCGTTTGGTCCAACGGTTCCACCCACGTGTCAACTTTGACCATATTGTTGCATGTTTGCTGAGTATCTGATGAGTTACATTCGCAGAAAGTGTTGCAATTGGTGTGCTGAATCCCAACCCTCAGCACGTGTTGTGTTTCGGGAGGCAAGGCGCACGCTGCGCCGTCGTGCCGCCGTGCCGAAGCGCGTCCAGGAAGGCGTTTGCCACAAGTTCCGCTTGCAGCCCACGAAACTTCCCCCTTTTTGTCACACGTTGGGACTTTTTTTGTGCCTATATTTTTTTCGCTGCCACTGCTGCCACGAGTCCCATTTATAGCCCTGCCTGCCAACATAGCGATGTTGAGCAAGGAGGACTTACAGTGCGCGTGTCGGCAAGGGTTGTAGTATACGACACCTTTCACCAATGATCCCCAATGTCGGTTAAACCCGTCTTGGCAAATGGCAAATAGGTGATCATGGCCACACCACCGCACTGATGATCAATAATGATAAAAGTACATGTGATGGATCAATAATGATAAAAGTAAGTACATGTACAGCTTTTTAGTTCGCTGGTGGTTGAGCGCTTTCCCACGCCGTACGGGTCATGGAGGTCAAGTGATGAATTCGCCATTGCGGGTTCGTGAATGCATAAGACAGACGTGTGTGCACGACCCTGTGCTGACCACCACGGAGCCCTACCGGCATTCTGCCCATAACAACTTGGCGTGCACGACGGCCGCCCATCCGCGTCCTATCCATCTTTAAAACTGCTTAGCTTTACAGATCTGACGCACGGAGCGCGCATTCCAGGCTAATTGGTGATAGACGGATGAATATGGGTTCCACTTAAACATGTATCTTAGTCCATCAGCCTATTGGGTTACCAGACTAATATCCAGTATAATGTTTAAACACGATCTCATGTAAAGTCAGAACTATTAAACAATGCTGATAGGTTATAATTTGTTATAAGCAAGAGCACCTTATTTATAAGGCAGAGTCTAGGCCAATCCAATAACAAAAACGCTGTTGTCGAGTCTTGTGGGTAAACAAATAGACCTGTCTTGTGGTCTTTCTCAACCAATATTTTTGCTAAATATATAGAAATGATATGCTCTATTTACTTTGAGGCCAGTTGAACCAATTAAAATGTAGAAGCCAGGCACAATACAAGTAATGATACGAACGAGACATTCAAATCGGTTCTTATACAAGACAACAAATACGGTTTATAGTATTCTTGAATCTAAATGCAGTCCTGCTGAATCATGGCATTTTATCAAATTGAATGGAGGAAATTATTGTGACACTATGATGGACATGTACTGGCAATTACACATCTCTTTTTGGAGGTTCTGAGCCGATGGTGGAAATTGCACATTCCTATGACAAGAGCGATGGCGCAGTGATTAGTGGACTGCACCGTGAACTTGGCGATGTGAGTTTGGATTCCCAGCCATGGCTAACATCAGTGGTTTGGAGTGATGCCTGTGAACTGGTTCTACCCCCCTCCCCTCTCCGCCCTTCACCATCCTTCACCGATCACAGTGGTGAAGTGTGATCAAGTAACCCCTATGACGAACGTGGAGTGGCGAGGCCTTCAACATTGATTTTACAAAAAAGCGGAAATAACACAATTTGAGTATATATCTATCACAATCATTGAAAGTGGACTGTCATCAAAATTAAGTAAAGGGGTAAGTCAGAGCTGGTCGAAGTCCCTTTGGAAAACATAATTTGGTCAACAAAATCAGGACGCCAATGAGGCCTAATAAGGGAGGCTTTTAATGCACGTTGGGTGACCATAACATATACAGCTCATAGAAAAGTTTTCAAAGAAATACTGAGTGCTGCATGCTGGGAAATACGCTGAGAAAAAAACATTGAAATCTGAGACATCACAGTGACAAGAGAATAGAGAAGTGGGCTTGAGCAGGACAGGTTCCAAGAAGGGGTGAACTCTCGGTAGCCAAGACTTTAACAACAACAAAAACAGCCAAAGGAGAGGACGTGCATGACGAGAGGACGTCAACTGAGGGGTCTGGGGCAATTAAATCAGCTGGTGTGCAGGAGTTCGATGGATTTGCTGAGGCTGTGAGAGATGGTGATGGCTTGAAGAGGGATTCGTCCAGCAGTGGATATACTATGGCTGATGTGTGTTTATACCATCATTCTATACCATGTGCAGTTATTTAACATGCAGGTTCACACTTCGGTGATGTCAATTATGTTTTTGTAATGCAGATAATTTAATTATTTGAATATTTTAAGGACAGGAAAATCGATGTGTTATTGACCGACTAGGCCTTCATCACGAATAAACAAGGGTGATGGCGGTGATGTATCTTGCCATCGGCGAAATCCAGGCGACGGCAGTGTCTCCTTTTGCATGGTTCGTTTGTTGAGGTCAAGGCCTGTTAGTGAGCACCTATTTAAGTCCACATTTATTGATTGTGCGCATGTGAAATGGCCTTACAAACAGGTCTTTCCATCATACGTGATCATCGTAATTAATATTTGTAATATGTACTGCTGGATGAAGGTCTCCCCACACGTGTCGGTTTTGTGGGTGGTTTGACCATATTTCACCACGCTGGTGAGTGTGGGTTGGTCAAGCTGGTGACGGAGAGGCTGCTCTGAACAAGTTCAGATAGAGTATAGTGCTCCAACCGCCATATCAACTTCTCCGTACACCGCACTGAAGTACAATTCATCCAGCATTCAACCCTTTTCACACATCTAATTCTCATAAACCTTACAATACCACTACATATAAATAATCTGTCATATCGCCCTCAAATATTATTCTTACAGCAGTATTCACCGCACACATCCTCTTCCCGTAAACCATGCGCATTGTGAAAATATATTACATAAAACATGTGTTTTGAGGCCATACATAAACCCTGAAAAATAAAAGCGTGACTAAAGTCACAAAGAAGTTAAATTATGATTTCAAGCTTTCGTGACTGCAGGAATTACTCTTTGGTTCTTTCGGTAAAGTCGCGTAGAAAGAAAAAGAAAATTATTTAAATACGAAGTTTCGATTGCAAAACAAGCAGTCGTCATCAGGTAGAACTAAATTTGAGAGACAAAACACAAACACGGAGACACAAGCAGAGAGAGACACAACATAGACACACAGAGACCCAAGAAGAGAGAGGGGGGCAGAGAGAGTTGTGGGTCTGCTGGAGCAGAGAAATTAGCATGTCAATGAGAGAGTTGTGTGGAAATCCACCCCAAAGCGGCCGGGAGAGAAAGAGCGAATGGACCTATGAGAGCCTGGTAAATTTTAGAGAGAGAAATAGGCAGTTTGAGAAAACAAAATTAGTCGGAGCGGGCCACACACAGGTGGAGTGAGCAGCGCTGCGCTGGAGGCAACGAGGACGTCTATCGAAATTGAAATAAATACAAATAACTTTAACCGTTCGGATAGCTACCGCCTTAGTGCTGCGTGGAAGTTGGCTGTGTCGGGTGGTGGCAGGTTTTAACGACTTTTACGCGATCTAACCCCAAAAAAAACCTCTATTATAGATCAACAGAGAAAATCAGTCAAGTTTTGACTGGACTGAAAATAGCAACGTAAAATAGGGGGTAAACTGCATTGACTTGAAGCTGTGGGACAGGAATAACGTGGATATAAAAATTTAGAAAATCAACAACCGTGACACTTAACAATGCATTCGGGTAGGACGGCCGTACTGCTGCTGATGATTTATAAAATAATAATGAAACTACTCCTGGCCACAGTGATTCTTTGTTTTGACATTGTGGTGATCGTAGCGGCCTCGGTCGGCTGAAAGGAGTCACGTGAACCCAATACGTACAACCATGTGTATATGGACAGACCGTTTGCCATTCCACTGCTGTTTGAGGGTTTATGAGATTATGCTTCACTGCGCTGGTCAATGCGAGTTGGTGAAGGTTGGGGGAGTAACAGTCTCCCTCCCCCCACTGCCCACAGCGCAAATTACTGCTGCCGGTTGCGCATGGCGGTCACTCATCCAAGCACTACCCAGGCTCAAACTCTGCTTAGCTTCCGAGCTCCGATGGGATCGGGCGCATTTCCTCGTTAAGGAGAATAAACCATCGTCACATGAACTCCGGTCGTCATCCTCGCAGCGGCGGCTTGTGGCTGGCCGTCGAACAAAGACGGCGGTCACCGCATCGCGCGGCGCTTTCAGATGCGCTTCTGTGGCCGTCTGGAATGCTCTTCTTTCCGATATTAGGAAGCCACTGGAGATGTGCAAATTTTAAACATCTAGATTGGCAAACTCATTTCTTTACAACTGTTTTTTGTGTTGAGTCTGTTGTCCTTCCCACGCACCTCCGATTAGCACGTTTGGCTATGTACGGTGCGAAATAAGTTCAACATACATACACATACATACACAGCGCCCTCTAGTGAGTGTATCATTGGTACTCCATTTATATTCCCCAGAAGGATGATAAGCTGATTGTCATGATCTTCTATATATAAAAAAGGGAAATTTGTGAATTTATGTGTCTGTTCGAAATGTTTAGCATGCTTCCCGACATGCAACAAACTTGAAATTTGGCATGTGGGTAGTTCCCAGACTGTACACCATGCAGAGGGGGTTGGAGGGGGGGCGGAGGAGGTTAGAGGGGGGGTTGGGGCCGATTTTTGACCCCCCCCCCCTCTAGTCACACGACGTTACAAAAAGTCAGACCCCCCCTCAAATATGACGTCACAAAGTTCTGCCCCCCCCCCCCAAAACCATATTTCCATTTTGAAAATAAAACATGCTTCAAATCGCTTTAAACTATTCTCATTGTAGTGCGTATTTAATTTGGCGCTGCACTCTGATGTTGTAGGATAAAACATTTATTAAAAAGTATATTTAATTAAGTATAACATGTTGTCTATATTTATTTAAAGTTGCGCATTTCACATTTCTCACCCCCCCCCGTCACACATCGTCACAAATGTCTGACCCCCCGCCCTAGGTGCGTGACGTCATTTATGGACGGACCCTTGGAGGGGTTGGAGGGGGGGTTGGAGGGGTTGGAGGGGGGTTGGGGGGGTTGGGGTTGGAGGGGGGGTTAGAGGGTTGGAGAGGGTGGGCGGAGGGGGTTGGAGGGTTGGAGGGTTGGAGGGAGGGGGGACTTCCTCGTTGCCTCCAGCGCAGCGCTGCTTTTGGGCTCCGTCACTCCACCTGCGCGTGGCCCGCTCCGGCTGCGCTGCTGCGTCTCTCCGTTTCACTTTCCCTGTGGCTGACTCTCATTCCTCTCTGCCGCTGTGTATATTTACGTGTGTGTGTGTCTGAATGTGTAACGCTCTCCGCCTTGGTCTTAACTCTTGCCTACCTGTGCCTGTGTCCGAGCGGTGAGTTCGCCAGCGCATGCGGTTGTTGGTTCCACTTGTGACCGAGACTGGCTGGCTCTGCCTGCAAGTTCGACCGCCAATTTGTCCGGCCGTGTGGTTGTCCCTGACGTGACATCGGTCCGAGTCTGGTTGTGACTCATTGTAACCTGTAAGAGTCTGTGAATATGTGCGAGTGAGAGAGGTGTGTATTGTACAGGGGTGTGTGTGTCTGTGTGAGTTACGTGTGTGTGAGTTACGTGTGTGTGTGTGTGTGAGTGGTTGTGAGTCCACACTGCACATCGTTTGGGAAGAGAGGAGCGATGCCGAGGTGATATCACAGCGATGAACGGCAGGTAAGACTCACCGGCACACACACACACACCTACACACTCACGTGTTCACAAACTCACCTGTACACACACACACCTATACAAACTCACCTGCACATATCTGTAGACACACGTGTGTACAAAGATACCTGTACAAAAGCTCTCCTGCAGACTCGCATGTATACAAACTCATCTGTAAACAAACTGATCTGTTCAACACGTAGGCTTTCGAGACCAATATTCATAATAAACGTTTTTGGGTTAGATCGCGTTATTTATAAATGTGTCGTAACCCTCCACCACCCGACATGGCCAATCAGTAAAAAAGTGTCACGTTGACAAAAGGCAAATAGTTCACTACTTTAGTCCACCGGTGTGTTGAAGAGTGAAACCACAACATTTAAAATGTTTGAGTATTACGACGTTTCGCTGGTAATTGCATCCAGCATCATCGGGGTTACGACACATAAATAACGCGATCTAACCCAAAAACGTTTATTATGAAACTGACCCGTACACCCACATGTGTACACACACACCTGTACACAAGCTCACGTGTAAACACACTTATTTGTACACACTCGTACGTACACTCGACATGTGTAAACAACAGGCGCCCTTCAACCCACTAAGTGGCGGCGATATCACCAGCAGTTGATAGAGCGTGTTAGGTTCATCTCGGGAGATGATTAACAAATCCACTTCTAGATGAAGGCGCGTTAACGCCTACCAAGAGGAACGTTTTCAAGTACGTCGTCTTCACGTTGCGAAGATTAAAATTCAGCATAAGGCGGGATAAACGTTATGGCGATTTATTAGGGAAAAAACTGAAAGACGAATGACCGTGCTTGTTGTGTACAATGATAATAAGAATCATCACCATCGTTATCGGACGCACGTCAGCTGATCTCATCCACCGCTTCGTCAACCCGCTCCTGGATGACGGCACGCGCACGCCGTGGTAGTGGTGGTGGTGGTTGTTGTTGGTGGTGGTGGTCATCGAGGTCGTTTGCCCATAACTTCATCGCACGTTGGTCGGGACGGGTTCTCTTGATTCACACGCGAAAGTTATTTGCTCGATGCTGTATATGTGCCTTGGCAGTGGTGCACAATCGCAAACAACAGTCGTCAACCACGTTAGCCAATTAGGTGTTAGCCATGTTCTATGAATCAGGGACATGTTCTGAAACGTCGGCTGTTATATAAGGCCACACTTTTAGTCACCTTTGTTCTGTTTTTTTTTTGTGAGGGGGGGGGGGGGGTTCATTTATGTATCCGCCACTGACGGCGAGCCCTTGCATTGATCTCGGGTGGCATTAATCACTGCGCCACAGTTCCCAATCAAACGTTGCTACGTCGTTCTAGAGACGCCTGTATACCGTACAACTGGTGTCACACAAACCCCACAGCGGCAACACTCGCGTGTTTACCCCGTTACAACAATGCAACAACACGCTGCGTACACAACGCGTGCACGTGCGTCGAATGGATAAGCGCTCTTACACCATAGGGGCCGTCCATAAATGACGTCACGCACCTAGGGGGGGGGGGGTCAGACATTTGTGACGATGTGTGACGAGGGGGGGGGGGTTGAGAAATGTGACGTTACATCAAAATGCGTTCTACTTAATTAAATAGTTACAATGACAATAGTTTAAAGCGATTTGAAGCATGTTTTATTTGGGGGGGGGAGGCAGAGTTTTGTGACGTCATATTTGAGGGGGGGGGTCTGACTTTTAGTGACGCCGTGTGACGTCATTTATGGACGGCCCCATAGCAGTAACACACAGGGTGGACACAAAAAAAGTGGAACAAGTGCTCTACAGTACAGTAATCGCACAACAAAGACAAAGATCCCCATTCATATCGCCTTAATAGACTGTTGGGGAAAGGGCTTCATGTTGGGCCATTATTGAGCCTAACGGTTCCAACCGCGCGCAAAAACGTTGGGTCAACGTTCGCATGTTTACTGGGCAAGCCACCTCTTTAACACGCCGGCTTTCGTGACGAATGTCATTAATAGAGTAATTTATTTTGTTGGGTCGGAGCGCGTAAATAAAATGTGTCGTATAAACCCTCCTCCACCCGACAGCCATATCATAAAGTCGCCACGTGGTGTGGCCAATACCACCCTCGGGCCACGCTGGGCCGCCTTTGTCTCCCCGAGTGAGTGCTGATGTTTTTACACGCCACACCAGGTACAAATGTAAGGGAAAGCCAAGCGAAGGGAGTCAAGCGGAGTGGAGGGCCAGGGCCAATTCAGATGCAACTCGCCACTGACTGTCAGGGGCCGTCCATAAATGATGTCACGCACCTAGGGGGGGGGGGGGGTCAGACACTTGTGACGATGTGTGACGAGGGGGGGGGTTTGAGAAATGTGACGTCACATCAAAATGCGCAACTTTAAATATAGCATTGTTATAACAACACTAATTGTTATAACAACACTCCTACAACAACATTAAATCCGCCCTACAATGACAATAGTTTAACGCGATTTGAAGCATATTTTATTTTCAAAATGGAAATATGGTTTGGGGGGGGGGGGGGCAGTGCTTTGTGACATCATATTTGAGGGGGGGGGGGTCTGACTTTTTGTAACGCCGTGTGACGAGGAGGGGTGGGGGTCAAAAATCACCCAAAATCGCGTGACGTCATTTATGGACGGCCCCTTAGCCGTGGCCGGGTATCGAACTCGAGTGACATTGGTTCGTAACGTACGGTTGGTGGATTATCCTCTGCCACGATAGCTCCACATGCACGCAACACGTGCATCTTACGCTGCATACAGGTGCTGTAATAATTAACCTGCTACACTGGGACATGTTTAAAAAAAGTACACACATGCACTGCTTACGCAGGCACACGTGTAATATATGACCAGGTTCGTTTACCTCGTTATACATTAAGGATATCTGTCCGTTTATGCGTCTCTTCAACTGTTTGCTGGGACGTAAAATTACCAACTGGAGTGCTTTGTTTATTTGCCAAAGAAAACATTGTGTCAACTCACATTTAAGGCTACCCTCAAACCAAACAAACGTGCGTACGCTCTCTAAGACAATGTTAGCAACGGTGTTCGGGACAAAATAAAATAACCTCGAACGTAAGCTATCAACCTAACGAGACATCACGTTACGATTCACCGTCCAAGGCCAACAATCGGTGGCGAAGTGATATGCGAACCGGCCGTGGCATTTCCATCACCGACCCGCACTGAAGTTCAGTCTGTGTGCTCAAAACACAGTGAGACCTTGATCCAGCCGATGATTGACAAGGGAATGTTCGGGGTGGTGGTCCAGATGTTTGGTGACCCCCTCTCCATTAATTGCCCCCGAACATTTTTTTTCCCTCGGTCACAAGACATCTGGACCACGCTGTAAGATTATTACAACTTACAGCATCTAGCCGTTGTGTGAAGCAGCTGCAAGGCCAGGATAGAGCGCAATTAGAGTAACTCTGCCAGTGACTAAGATCAGTGAGTAGTAGCACATCAGCTAAGGCGCCCCCCCAGATCGTTCCTGCACGTTTCTGGAGGAGGGGAAATTCTTGATTTTGTCTTCTTCTGTAAGTGGGGCTTCAAGGGGGTCAGACTTCTGTCCATAATAACCCCCAAGATATGTTAAAGTGGGGTCATAGCTCATTGGGCTACTACAGAAGGACACATCTGTAGTATATATATACTGTATGTGCCTTCAATATATGTGTAGGTGTGTATACATGATGTGTAATTTTCTGGTATGTCCGTATAAACTATATTAAATGAGTGTGTGATATAAAAAAGAACATGTAGTTTGTGTATTTATGTAGGTATATTGATATGTATGTATGTGTGTATTAATACATGGCAGTATGTTCATGTGCACGAATATGTGTTTGTGTACGTGCTGTGTGTTTTTTTGGTATGTGCCTGTGGACGATACTGAATGAGTGTTATTTTTCACGGAGAGTGTGCATGTCTCAAGGTAGACATGGCTGTCGGTAACAATAACAATAACGCCCTTTATATACCCAGAAAAGCCTCACTGAGTCTCAAGACCTCAGGAGGGATATTTGGTTAATTCCATCAATGAGCAATGTGCCTGTACTATGGGAAGGTGCTATAGCCTGAAACGTAAGCTATTTTATATACTGTACTGTATATCTTTTATGTTAAGGCAGTGTTTAGTTATGTTTGTGTGTGTATACTGTGTGTATATGGAGGACGGTATATTGGGTTGCATCTGCATTCATTTGTCTATCCACTGCTCGGATGAAGGCCTCCTCGTGTTGTCACTCATGGTCCCGCGATACCACACTCCACCTCGTTGCGAGCTGATTTCATCGCCGCATCTTCGCAGCAGTCGTCATCGTCGTCCAGGGTGTGTTTATCTCCTTTAGCTGTCATTCCATCGCAGTCTCGTCTCATCGGCCATCAATCGCTTTGAGCGGGGTGTCGTCCTGCCCAACCCCACTCACTTTCTTGTATCGTCAATTTGATGTTTTGAGTTTGTTTCCAGACACCACGTGGGTGTTTCCTCTCCCAGTACTTCCAAGCCATAATGGGCCTCTCTCCTTTGCCTCTTTGCTCTCCTGTCGACTTTGGTTCCACTTTTACCATCTTTTCTTACGTCATGGAAGGTAATATACCTTCATAAAAAAAACGTTCTTTATGCAGAATGGTATAAGATTGGTAAATGTACATGCGTGTTCATTCTACAGTGAGCGATCGGAAGTGTGTTCAAATCCTGACTAGGGGTTCACTCAGCCTATCATCTCTTTGGGGTCGATAAAATGAGGACCGATTTTAGTTCTACTTCTTGGGGAAGTCAAAAGTGGTTGTCCTCTGGGACAGACTTGCCCCCACCATAGGAACATGGAATATACAGCATTGGCTCAGGGTTGTAAACAGAAGAGAAGCACCACCTCAATGCTCGTTTGAGCAGGAAATAACTTTGGCTTATTTATATATTTATATATGTAGGTTGTGTGTATTCATAAATGTTATCGTGTTTTAGGCGTGTGTGTAGGCACGCCCATATGTG